CACAAACCTACCAGACGAGCTAAATGACTTCTATGCGCGCTTCGAGGCAAGCAACACTGAAGCATGCGTGAGTGCACAATCTGTTCCGGACGACTTTGTGATCACGCTCTCTGTAGCCAATGTGAGTAAGACCTTTAAACAGGTCAACATTCACAAGGCCGCAGGGCCAGACGGATTACCAGGACGTTTACTCAGAGCATGCGCTGACCAACTGGCAAGTGTCTTCACTGACATTTTCATCCTGTCCCTGACCGAGTCTGTAATACCAACATGTTTCAAGCAGACCACCATAGTCCCTGTGCCCAAGAACACCAAGGTAACCTGCCTAAATGACTACCGACCCGTAGCACTCACATCTGTAGCCATGAAGTGCTTTGAAAGGCTAGTCATGGCTCACATAAACAACATCATCCCAGAAACCCTAGATCCACTCCAAATCGCATACCGCCCCAACAGATCCACAGATGACGAAATCTCTATTGCACTCCACACTGCCCTTTCCCACCTGGACAAAAGGAACACCTATGTGAGAATGCTGTTCATTGACTACAGCTCAGCGTTCAACACCATAGTGTCCTCAAAGCTCATCACTAAGCTAAAGGACCCTGGGACTAAACACCTCCCTCTGCTACTGGATCCTGGACTTCCTGACGGGCCGCCCCCAGGTGGTAAGGGTAGGCAACCACACATCTGCCATGTTGATCCTCACCACAGGGGCCGCTCAGGGGTGCATGCTTAGTCCCCTTCTGTACTCCATGTTCACCCATGACTGCGTGGCCAAGCACGACTCCAACACCATCATTGCGTTTGCCGACGACACAACGGTGGTAGGCCTGATCACCGACAACGATGAGACAGCCTATAGGGAGGTCAGAGACCTGGCAGTGTGGTGCCAGGACAACAACCCCTCCCTCAACGTGATCAAGACAAAGGAGATGATCGTGGACTACAGGAAAAGGAGGGCAGAGCAGGCCTCCATTCTCATTGACGGGGCTGTAGTGGAGCAGGTTGAAAGCTTCAAGTTCCTTGGTGTCCACATCACCAACAAACTATCATGGTCCAAACACACCAAGAAAGTCGTGAAGAGGGCACAACAACGCCTATTCCCCCTCAGGAGACTGAAAAGATTTGGCATGGGTCCTCAGATCCTCAAAAAGTTATACAGCTGCACCATCGAGAGTAACCTGACTGGTTGCATCACTGCCTGGTATGGCATCTGCTCGGCGTCCTGGCATTGCAAACGCCATGCTCTACCAACTGAGCAACATATTACCTCAATTACCTCAACTAACCTGTAACCCTACACATTGACTCGGTACCGGTACCCCCTGTATATAGCCTCGTTATTTTATTGTTACTCTTTTATTTTTTTTTACTTTTGTTTATTTAGTAAATATTTTCTTAACTCTTATTTTTCTTAAAACTGCATTGTTGGTTAAGGGCTTGTAAGTAAGCATTTCACGGTAAGGTCTACACCTGTTGTATTTGGCGCATATGACAAATCAAATTTGATTTGGTTTGAGCGTCAGAGACGGTGTAATAGGATTCCACCTTCCTCCTAAATTTTCCTTTTGCATGTTTGATGTCTCGTCGGCGGTCGTAGCGGACTTTCTTGTATGCGTCCATGTCCCTTTCCTTGTAAGCAGTAGCTCTAGCCTTTAGCCCAGCGCGAATATTGCCTATAATCCATGGTTTTTGGTTTATAGTCACTGTGGGGACGACATCGTCTATGCACTTACCTATGTACCTACAAAGATTCGACCAAGGTCAATACTTGTAAATAAAAAAAAGTTAATTATGAAGCGCCCACCTTGTACCTATGTTTGTCCTCTGTAGTTGCGTGCCTTTCCGTGTTTGCTGCATTCCATGCTTTTTCAATAAACGTTCATCAAATACCACCACGACTGTTTCCTTGTTGAGATTCAATGAACACGTGCGCATTTGCGCTGAGTTGCCGTCTTAGAGAAACAGCAATGAGCAAACAGTCGGTGGTTGTATTTGATTAACATTTATAGAAAAAGTATGGATTTCAGCAAACATAGAAAGGCACGCAGCTTTAATATTACTTTTTTCCCCCTACCCTACCATCCCTACACTGATTGGAGTAAACTAACGGACAACAATACTTCTACTGCTATTTACAGCTAGTTTTGCTCATATCTACCGTACCTGTAGTTAAATAATTATACATGTATTCGTAATTTCCTCTTTCTTCAAGTGTAGGATTTTGACCCACAGCAGCCAATCCACCATTCATTCTGATCTTAACTCCAACCCTCCGATGTCCACAGATTAACCCATCTTTCCCATTGCCATTTTGCTATTTCCTTTCGCAATACATCCCTCCTTTTTACTATGATGTCTTACGAGGGTCCTGAACCTCCCTATTTGTAACATTTCTACCGATATTGCCCTAAAAATAACAACTTTATCAAAGAGTATAATGATATTACCCATTGATTGATCATGGATTTTCAGATCCCCTAACAATACCGTTTGCAGGTCCATCTGAACCCTGATATTATGACATAACAACCATTCCTGGATCTGACTCCAAAAGCGAGCCACCGACTGACAGTACCATACAAATGTTCTGAGTCTGTTTCCTCATGGCAGAGTCCGCACAAGGCTGACTGTTCATGCCCCATATATTGAGCATTCTTTTTGTAGCAAGTATTTTATATAATAGCTTCAATTGAAACAAACAGATTGATGTGTCAATTATTGTTTTATATGTCAGTTCATAGTCCCGATGCCAAGGTATTGGGACATCAAAAACCTGTTCCTAACTGACTTGAATTTTATACGGTATTGCTATCAAACCTTTTGACTTTAAGTGAAACGGATACATTTATGCTTATAATTTTAAGCCATTTATGAATTTCAATTGGTGGCAGACAGACTCATTCTATAAGTAAATGTCTCTTCCAATTTTGTGGCAGAGCCGCGATGAGTTGGTTATAGTTTTGTATTGAGCATATACCTCCATACACTGTTGTTAGTTGCTTGTGTGACATAATTTTACCATTCTTGTTTACAATGTCCTTCATAAATATTATAACCTTGAACATTTTTTTGAAGAAAATTCTTTTTTTCTCTATCAGTACATTGGAGTTTAGCCATATTATTTGCTGTAATATTAGATCTGCCTTTTCTGGAGGATGAAATTGAAATTGTAGCCAACGCTGTATGACTTCATTAAAAAGGATACTTTAAAACATGGATCCATTATCAATCCACTGAACATTTTAGTTTTAATCTGCAAAACACCAAAGAGCCCTGTCTTAAACATAGGATGGGCCTCTTTTAGTAGCTTGCTGGAAAACCAGTTTGGATTTAGATACACATTTTGTACAATAAAGGCTTTAAGAGAGATGTTTGTTTTATTTAATAGTTTTAACTCTCCAAACTCATGTTCATTATACATGTGCTCATTTAACTTTATCTGGTTTGACATTCCAAATAAAAGTGAAATATATTTTTCTCGCATGATTTGAAACAGGATTCTCCTGGAACCATGAATAAATTTGTAAACTGCGATATCACTAGAGAATTAATCTAGGTATTCTTCCTGCAAATAGATTGAATCTTGAAACCGTGGAGAGGGAACTTTGCTAAGTTTTCGATCAAAATTAATCGTTGCAAGATCGCTAAAATTTTCCGGGATAAAGTTTGTATCTTTTCGACTTCACCATCTGCCCATTTAACCGGGAGACCACATGGCAATTTAAAGTTTGTATCTTTTAGAGACCCAATCCATAATATAGTACACTTATTGTAGTTGGGTTTTAGTCCAGAGAAACTGGAGAAATTATCCAGGTCCTCAATGAGGACCTTAACGATTGAGGACTCAAGAGAACTTGAATCATTGGCATAGATTGATACTTTTGTCACTAATCCCTTCATTTTTAGCCCCTTAATGGTATCATTAGCCAGAATGCTAAATATTTAAAGCTAACAGTTCAATGGCCATAATAAATAGGTATGGTGACAGAGGGCAACCTTGTTTTATGCCTCTTGACAATTCAAAGTTCTCAAAGAAGTAACCGTTATTTATTATTTTGTTGTACGTGACCTTTACCCATTTTATGAAAGATTCTCCAAAGTTGAAAAAATCCAGTCACTTATAAACAGATTGTAGACCTGGTTTCTAGTGGTTGTCTAATGTTGTCTCCAAAATATCTTCCTTTTAAGAATCCCATCTGATCATGATGAATAATGTTCGGTAGGGCCTTTTTGATTCTATGAGCAATACAAGAGAACATTTGTTTAAAACATTTTACTTCCTCATTCAAGATCTCTGTTGGTGAGATAAGGATTCTCCATCATTTGCAACAATCTTTTGTAGGTTCTTTTTGGTTGCGTTTCTATATTGAAGGTTCAGGAAAAACGTTGATGCATTTTTTGCCGTTCTCTATCCAATTTTTTATTTTTTGTAAATGAAACCTAATCTTTCCTGAATAAGTTCCTCAAAGTCCTTTTGTTTTGCCTCTAGAATATTCAGTGCTTCTGTAATGTTTAATGTTAGATTTTATATTTCTGCTGTAAGTCTTTTCTGTTTCTGTTGTAAGTCTTTTCTGTTATGAATTCCTTTCGTTTTTGTTAAGAAAGTAGTGGTTAAATTTCCCAAAAGCCAATCATTCTTAGCACTAAACAGATACACTACAGTTACCATGTGTAACCACTGATAAACACTGATCACATCTTGCCCTCCCCTTACTTTCACTTCCTTGAATGAAAGACCATGAACTAAAACTAGGACTGTGGGAACTGGACACATTAACACGCATGTACACTCGTACACTCGTACACACACACTCACACACTCACACACACACACACACACACACACACACACACACACACACACACACACACACACACACACACACACACACACACACACACACACACACACACTACACCACCTCTTCTCTCTTTTCCCCCTCCCTTCCTGTGTGTTATGTCACGTTATGTCACTTTATGTCCAGGCTATGAAGGAGGAGTACAGCAGGAACCCCACAGAGAAACTACTGAAGGACATCCAGGAGGCCAAGAAACACATTCCTCTGCTGCATGGCCAGCTCAGCAAGGCCACAGGCACACCTCAGGTATACACACCTACGTATGCACATACACACATACATATGTTCACACACACACGTTTACGTGCATACGTATACAAGCACACACAAAAACACTTACACAATGACACTCTCTCTCCCATAGACACACACACACACACATACACACACAAACACTCTCTTGCTGTCTCTATCTCACAGGGACAGACACACTCTCAAAGGGACAGCCCAGTTACTGCCTGGCCTGCCACACATTTATGGTAGGCGTGTGTGACACACAACTCTAACGATTGTGTGTGTGTGTGATTGTGTTTTCAGGATGGCTCCCTCTCCCCCTGGGACAGTGAGGTGGAGGAGGGGGGCGTTGGGGCGGCCGATGGAGAGCAGACCCCCTCCTCGCTGGTAGAGAGCGGCAGCGATGGAACCTGGACCAATAACACTGTGAGTCAACCTGGCCAATTAGCCTGTCTGTTATTATCACCAACAGATGCTCCATGACAACTACATGTGAATTGTCATTCTGAATACAATACCATTGTACTGAAATAAAAAATAAAAATAATAATCCTATGTTTTATTGTCGCATACACCCGATAGGTGCTGTGAAATGTGCCTTTACAGGGTCAGCCAGGCGCCCGTGGAGCAAATTAAGGAGAAGTGCCTTGCTCAAGGGCACATCAACAGATTTTTCACCTTGTCGGCTTGGGTATTCAAACCAGTGACCTTTCGGTTACTGGGCCAATGCTCTAACCGCTAAGCTACCTGCCAACCAGGGTTAGGGTCCATTCCATTTCAATTTGGTCAAATCAGGAAGTAAACTGAAATGCCAATTACTATTTTCCTCAATGCTTTTCTATCAGAAAGTTTTACTGGAACATGTGGTATCGCTACCACAATGCCCATTCAAAATTGGAGACTGGCAAATGTTATACAGTATATGAATGGTGTGTGTGTCTCTCTATTTCAGGTGTCTCCCAGTCCCCTCCCTGAGAGTCCGTGCCAAAGAGAGACCCCCTGCCACAGCCCAAAGACCACCCCCCGAGACAGCCTCAACTCCTGCCCCTCGCATGACGCCGAGGACACGCCGGACTTGGTGAGACACACACACAGACGCCCACACAGACACTGTATATTTGTTGTTTACTCCAAACACTAGATTTAGAAGGAAGTAATGCTCATGTCTGTGTGTGTGTATGTGCGAATTAGAACTGTAACTTCCAGTGTAGTGTGGGCAGCCCCTCGTCTCGTCTCAACCCCCAGATCATCGGAGCAGAGGACGACTACTTTGATACAGAGCATAAAGAGGTACTGGTGGACTACTGCTAGACAGCTGGCTAACTGTCGGGTCTGTCTGGCTTTGTCTGGCTCTGTCTTTCTGGCTCTTTCTGTCTGTCTTTGTCTGTCTGGCTCTGTCTGACTGTCTGGCTGGCTGACTGTCTCTGGCTGTCTATCTCTCTCTCTCTCTCTCTCTCTCTCTCTCTCTCTCCTCTCTCTCTCTCTCTCTCCTCTCTCTCTCTCTCCTCTCTCTCTCTCTCTCTCTCTCTCTCTCTCTCTCTCTCTCCTCTCTCTCTCTCTCTCTCTCTCTCTCTCTCTCTCTCTCTCATTTTGTGCCTGTCTGTCTCATTCTCTCAATGACTCTCTCTCTTAGCAAGCCTGGGAAAATAAAGCCAGAACGGCCCATAGGGGCAGGAGCTCTCCTAATTCTGTAGCGTGAGGCAGCTTGATGTAAAAGTACACCCCCTGGACAGGTCGCTAGTCTGTCGCAGCGCCTTACCGCAATCCATCTCCTTAATGCTGAATGCCAAGCAGAGAGGCATCAGGTCCCATTTTTAGAGTCTGGTATGATTCAACCGGGGATCGAACCCCCAACCTCTCAATCTCAGGATGAAAACACTTTAACCACAAGACAACTGAGTTGGTATCTCTTTCTCTCTTACTCAACTATACATTTCTGTTGATCTCTACCCTCTCTCTCTCTTTCTCTCTATCTATCTCCCTGTCTCTCAGATCAACGGTCAGTGTAGTTGTTTCCAGAGTATAGAGCTGCTCAAGTCTCGGCCCGCTCACCTGGCCGCCTTCCTCCATCACGTGGTCTCTCAGTTTGACCCTGCGCCTCTGGTAAGACCACCACATACAGTGGGGAGAACAAGTATTTGATACACTGCTGATTTTGCAGGTTTTCCTACTTACAAAGCATGTAGAGGTCTGTAATATTTATCATAGGTACACTTCAACTGTGAGAGACGGAATCTAAAACAAAAATCCAGAAAATCACATTGTATGATTTTTAAGTAATTAATTAGCATTTTATTGCATGACATAAGTATTTGATCACCTACCAACCAGTAAGAATTCCGGCTCTCACAGACTTGTTAGTTTTTCTTTAAGAAGCCCTCCTGTTCTCCACTCATTACCTGTATTAACTGCACCTGTTTGAACTCGTTACCTGTATAAAAGACACCTGTCCACACACTCAATCAAACAGACTCCAACCTCTCCACAATGGCCAAGACCAGAGAGCTGTGTAAGGACATCAGGGATAAAATTGTAGACCTGCACAAGGCTGGGATGGGCTACAGGACAATAGGCAAGCAGCTTGGTGAGAAGGCAACAACTGTTGGCGCAATTATTAGAAAATAGAAGAAGTTCAAGATGACGGTAATCACCCTCGGTCTGGGGCTCCATGCAATATCTCACCTCGTGGGGCATCAATGATCATGAGGAAGGTGAGGGATCAGCCCAGAACTACACGGCAGGACCTGGTCAATGACCTGAAGAGAGCTGGGACCACAGTCTCAAAGAAAACCATTAGTAACACACTACGCCGTCATGGATTAAAATCCTGCAGCGCATGCAAGGTCCCCCTGCTCAAGCCAGCGCATGTCCAGGCCCGTCTGAAGTTTGCCAATGACCATCTGGATGATCCAGAGGAGGAATGGGAGAAGGTCATGTGGTCTGATGAGACAAAAATAGAGCTTTTTGGTCTAAACTCCACTTGCCATGTTTGGAGGAAGAAGAAGGATGAGTACAACCCCAAGAATACCATCCCAACCATGAAGCATGGAGGTGGAAACATCATTTTTGGGGGATGCTTTTCTGCAAAGGGGACAGGACGACTGCACCGTATTGAGGGGAGGATGGATGGGGCCATGTATCGCGAGATCTTGGCCAACAACCTCCCTCAGTAAGAGCATTGAAGATGGGTTGTGGCTGGGTCTTCCAGCATGACAACGACCTGAAACACACAGCCAGGGCAACTAAGGAGTGGCTCCGTAAGAAGCATCTGAAGGTCCTGGAGTGGCCTAGCCAGTCTCCAGACCTGAACCCAATAGAAAATCTTTGGAGGGAGCTGAAAGTCCGTATTGCCCAGCGACAGCCCCGAAACCTGAAGGATCTGGAGAAGGTCTGTATGGAGGAGTGGGCCAAAATCCCTGCTGCAGTGTGTGCAAACCTGGTCAAGACCTACAGGAAACGTATGATCTCTGTAATTACAAACAAAGGTTTCTGTACCAAATATTAAGTTTTACTTTTCTGATGTATCAAATACGTATGTCATGCAATAAAATGCAACTTAATTACTTAAAAATCATACAATGTGATTTTCTGGATTTTTGTTTTAGATTCCGTCTCTCACAGTTGAAGTGTACCTATGATAAAAATTACAGACCTCTACATGCTTTGTAAGTAGGAAAACCTGCAAAATCGGCAGTGTATCAAATACTTGTTCTCCCCACTGTATATACACACACACACTGTACATATACACACGCGCACACACCAAGGTTATTACAATTTGTGTTTTTCTATTCATTTTTCCATTAGATTCTCTAGTTTTTATTTAGTTGAAGTTGTATAAATAAATAAAAATATTCCGTTTTTATATTATTTACTTTCAGTTTTAGTTTTAGTGTTAGGGACAGAAGGCATGGGTGGGAGGCTAAGAACCATTTGGGTTGTATAGTTTTTTTGTGTTTTTTGAGATGTCACTTCTTGCAACAGGGTGACAGTAATACATAAGGTGATGGGTCAGGTCATAGGTTAGGTTAGCCCATCTTATGACTCCAATACTATATTGGACTCATTCTACGTGCCTTTTGATTAGCTGAGGTGATCTGGTCGAGTGTGAAGTGCTCTATCTAGAAACAAATTATCTTTGGTTGCGAAATGGTTTTGGAAACCTTGAATACTCAACTTAATTATAATCCAAAAATAACTTTACGAATACAAAAGATATTGCATCTTTTGTATTTGTAAAATAATTCCAAAACCGTATTGTACGCTGTGATTATTAACAGTTAGACAGATCGTTGAGACAGTTGTACACATTGGCCCCGCTGTGGTCAATTGTTCAAATGAGAACCTTATGGCTGTATGGCCTTGGATTCTCAAGCGCTAAGGTTATAAAGTCAATCTCAATGTGACTTGGATTTAAAAGGAATAGCATCGACACTGGTGCAAAAAATATGGTGAAAGGAAACTCTCTCTCGCTCATGTTTACACCAACCCATTGCTTTTTAACCTTAGTAGTACATTAAGAAGAATCGAGTTAGCTATAGAGGAATTTTTTTCCCCTATTAGTTAGTGATAGCTAGTGATAGTGATACACAAGCAAGGCCTTTTTGAAACATCGCCATCTCTTGGCCACATTTACCCGCCAGATTCAGTAGCTTGAAAACCCCATTAGATTTGTATTTTTATTAGTTTTGTAGTCAAAGATATGTTTCATTATAGTTGTCGTTTTTCAGACGGGTATGTTAATTATTTTATTTCAGTTGACTAAATCGTTTTTTCATGATCAGTTTTAGTTTACTATAATAACCTTGGCTCACACACAAACACACACACACACACACACACACAATCAAAATCCATGCCTAACACACACATGTTGTTACGCTCATTCACAATGCTCATAAAGTACATTCAAAATAGCTACTGTAGGCACATTTCCAATTGAGGATTTACCCCAGTGTTTTACCCAAAAGGCGCAGACTTTTCTGTTTCCAATTAAGTGTCTAATTTGGAGCCAAGGCAAGACCCTGGGTACTTTTCAGCTGGCATTTACATAACACTGGTTAATTGTGAACTTTAACACCTTCTCACAAAGCAACAGTCTTGAATGATGCAGAGGTTGTTGATTCTGCTCGCCACCAGTCTTAAGTGTCAGATTCCTGTTTGAAACACGAGCGACATTAACATAAAACACTGGCAGCCCACTGGTGTGGGGGTAAGTCTCATTGGAAAAGCACCATAAATGAACTGTAGGGGCTCTATTTTCGTCTGCCGTTAATTTCGTCATGTAAAAACTGGCGCACTGGCATTCTCCAGCGCTAACACCAGATTCAGCAATTTACCTGTCTTATATCAGCTCGCTTGCGCTCAGATGGGCGGGGCAGAAATATTTGAGGTGTGTCCTTAAAAACATTATCCAAAGTGATAATTTCAGGCAGCGCTGATAGGGATATTTAAGACCAACCAAAAGTAGCTGCTTTTGGTGCCTGTATACTTTGTATTTAGAAACCAATGTTTTTTCCCAAGCATAGCCTCCCCTCCTCTCAATGAAGGCTTTTTTTTGTCCTGCCCAAGGCAGTCATGGAGTAGTCAAGACTGTCGATAAAGGGTTTGGCTCCTGAGACCGTTTGGAAATAAATCTTAATCACCAAAGCTTTATTAATATATCACGTTTGAGAGGAGCAAAACAGTGAGCTGACGTTTCCTTTTTATCTATGCATTGTAGGCAGGCCCACGTTATTTGAGCCATGCAGGTCTTGTTTTGGACGTGCATAAAACCCCCTCCATGATGTAGGCTACATGTCCATCAGTGGCGGTCAGTGCCGTTTATGATGAGGGAGGACACATTTTTTTTAATGAGCATGGCCTTATTTCTATTACAGCATGTTGGACGACTGTCATTCATATTTCATTCACCCAGTTCAATGTAACATCGATAGGTTTAGGCTACTACATGACTCAAATTTTCCCTATACCCATCATGAGGTTGCTACAACCTAGCCTGTGAATGAAAGTTTACAACGTAGGTGCACACAGGTCGAGAGACACATTTGAGATGACAGACAGTGACACATGGACAGACAGTGACATTCAATACCGCCTTGCACACTCTTGCCTGCATCTAGCTGATATCATTAGTCCAACAGTTGCAAACAAGAGTTTCTATTGGACAAATTCAAGTATGTTTATCCCCGTTTTGTTCTGTTTGCTTCCGTTTAAGAAACGTTTTTCAACAGAATCGGCGGAATGAATACACCCCTGATTACGCGTAAACACACAGCCACGTTGTATTCCTTCTCGCATGCGCTCTCCTCCTCTCACCTCTTCCCTTCGCTTGTGGACTTCAATGCACAACACATCAGCTGGATGTGACCAGGTGAAAAAACCTTTCCAAGCCAAACCACTACACACAGCCTACATCGTTGTCACAATTTTAGCTAAAGTAACGTCATAGTCAGCATAGCTAATAGAACTAACGTGTTAGTAAACCCGCTACAATCATGCAGTGACGTTACAGTGTACAGTCAGTAAGCAGTTACACTGGCAGGCCCCGGTGGCAATAAATTAGTAAAACCAAAAGCTTACCTTGACTTGGAAGAGTTCCTGTGTTGTGTTGGATAGTCATAGCCAGCTAGCTAACATAGCATCCCTCTGTTTGAGCAGGGTGTTTCAGTAGGCTAAACGAGCTAGCTGCATTTGCTAGCTAAGTACGTGAAAATGAAAGTGAAAAAAAAAGGACATCTCTCTCTATATAAATATCTCTCTTGCTTCTCCTTCATTTTGGAAGAAATTAATTTGTTCAAAACTGTTCAACTATTGTCTTTCTCTCTCTTTGAGTCAACTACTCACCACATTTTATGCACTGCAGTGCTAGCTAGCTGTAGCTTATGTTTTCAGTACTAGATTACTTCTTTGATTTGGTGGACAACATATCATTTCATGCTGCAAGAGCTCTGATAGGTTGGAGGACATCCTCCGGAAGTTGTCATAATTTCTGTGTAAGTCAATGGAAGGGGGTGAGAACCATGAGCCTACTAGGTTTGTATTGAAGTCAATGTACCTAGAGGAGGATGGAAGCTAGCTGTCCTCCGGCTACACCATGATGATACCCTACAGAGTGCTGTTGAGGCTACTGTAGACCTTCTTTGCTAATTAGTGTGTTTTAATCAATTATTTGGTGACGTGATTATATTTAGTATAGTTTTATCTAAAAAGGATAACATTTTCAATGTTTTACATGGATGGGTGGCTATTTGAAGAATCTCAAATATAAAATATATTTTGATTTGTTTAACACTTTTTTGGTAATACATGATTCCATATGTGTTATTTTATAGTTTTGATGTCTTCACTTTTTTTCTACAATGTAGAAAATAGTTTTTAAAATAAAAATACATTTTTTTGAATTAGTAGGTGTTCTAAAACTTTTGCAGTTGAGGAACAATGGGAAAGTAATTCTGCTTTGAAAGTTGATAAACTTGTAACCCCACTTTTGAGAAAATGGCCCTTGAATGTTTTGGTACACCTAATGGGGAGCTCTTCTTTGTCTACACCCATTCAGCATCGTTCACACCCTCTTAAGCCTTAGCCCCACCCATCTCTTTAAGGATTCACGTGAGGCCTTGTGGTAAACACACTCTATCTCAAATCAAATCGAAGTTTATTTGTCACATACACAGGATACAGAAGGTGTAAACTCTACAGTGATAGTACTAGCATAGTAGCAATATCAAAAACAGAAAGTGTCCAGATAAAAATATTTTATAAAAATGTATCGTTATTAGATGACGCTTACCCGACACACTTGTCTAAATTGATGGGTCATATGAAGGAAATGCTATAACCACTCCCCAGCCATATCTAGCTAAGTGGATGGGTCACTATTGTCTAGACATGTACACATGTTCATGAAATACAATAGATGGCCATAATCACCCCCAGACACACCTGGCTAATTTGATGGGTCATGTAATAATCCGGCCGAAGTGGAGTCTTTTGTTAGACATGTAGCTAGCTAGGTAGCTAGCTAGCTAAACAATGAACCGGCATAACCCCAACTCATACTACTACCAATACAAACATTGTCATAGCTGTAGTATGAATCTGCAGGTAGCTAAAGCTAACAAACTAGGTTAAATGTTAGCTAGCTAACATTAGGCTATAACTAGCAATGCAAATGGATTTCTGATTAGAATAATATTGCTACACACATCATACAAATAATGTTAGCTAGGGAGCCAGCAAGCTAATGTTTGCTAGCTAACTAACAGTACGCTTTAACTTGCAATAAAAACGACTTTCTGACAAAATTAGAAACTTATATCTGGAAAATTTAGCTAGACTCTTACCCGTATACATGGATGAACACTTCACGGCAGACTGGAACTTTTTAACTCTGTTTTGTTTGTAGCTACATCTTGTTTGGCCAGCTTTGTGTCAAGTCACTCCGGTTCACACTGACCGTGGCGTGTGCAGAAAGTAGCCCATCACTTTTTCCTACTGATCTGTCAATAGCGCCTGCTAAATTCAGGGCATTTTTATTTTTTATATATATTTTTTTACATATTTAGCAGATGCTCTTATCCAGAGCGACTTACAGGAGCAATTAGGGTTAAGTGCCTTGCTCAAGGGCACATCAACAGATTTTTCACCTAGTCGGCTCGGGGATTAGAACCAGTGACCTTTCGGTTACTGGCACAATGCTCTTAACCACTAAGCTACCTACCACCCCAACATCAATGTTGTTGAGAAAAGTAGCAAAACTTGTGTAGTTCTCGATGTAACGTTATATCTTTCAAAAACGGCACTCACATTATAGACAGAAGCGTGCTACATGGCAGACCAATCCAAACTCATCTCCCGGCATGTCCAGCCCATCCATTATCTCAGCCAATCATGGCTAGCGGGAAGGTTCCAGTCTTTTTCCGTGGCTAAACCAACTAGGCTCTAATTTAACCATTTTATTCGTATTTATGGATGGAATACAAGTTTGTTATTAAGGCACATGAAAGTTCACATGTTCCAGACGGCAATTCTGCCAAAAAACGCATTTTGATAAAAAACTAATGTTTACGTTCAAATGCCGCTCCTGAGAAGTAGTGACTTGCAACATATGCCTAGTTTCCTGAAACTAGTCACATATTTCGCCATGGAGCACGTTCTGATTGGCCAGTGAAGAGCCTCGACACACACACAACTTGTTTATTCATCAAAACCCAGCCCTTTCACTGCAATGCCAGCAAGTGTGCCGAAAATTGTAATAGTGAAAATAACACAAATATTTCTGACACATCCATGAACCTATAGCGCTACCGCTTGCGCTTAGATTTACCATTGCCTTAAATTTGTTGAAATAGAGCCCTAGGCATACAACATTCTGGTAACTGTCCCAAAATCACAATTCTTTTCAGAAAATGTCCAGGGAATTTGGTGACATTCTACAACCCTAATAAACTCTTTTTTTCTAATAGGGTACAGCAGTTACTCTCTAGCACTTTGGTGGTTTGACCCCAGAATGCATTGGTCAGTATTTAAGACCTAACCACCTCTCGTCCTCTCCTAGCTGTGCTATCTTTACGCTGACCTGTACAAGCAGACCAACTCCAAAGAGACCAGACGGATCTTCATTGATTTCTATACTTTCTTCATGGACCGAGCAGCGGTAAGACACACATGTACACATACATTATGTGGGAGCACACACAAAGGCACACACTGACGCATGCATTTACAAATGCATACACACACACTAGCAGTTAGAGTGGCGAGCTGGCAACCGGAGGGTTGCTGGTATCAAATCCTTGATGTCATTGCCTGCCGTTGTTACCTTAAGCATCACACTTAACCTCACAAGCAACAGCTCCCAGGCACTCAGTGTGGCAGCCCCCCGCACCTCTCCAAAACCTTTATGATTTTCTGGACAAAATGTTCAAATGACATCAGTTTGACCGGTTGTAAGGAAATAGAAAGCTGTGAAAACGACCCAACATGTTCTGATAAGATTTCAGTTTGGCTTGGAAGCATATTTTATGTGGTAGAAATACTATCAGCTTTTATGATGCTGATAAAGATAGCACCTCTACAGACGGTATCTAACTCAAGATGCTGAAATAAAGAAATCATATTTCTCCACTGCTGTTCCAGAGTAAATTTGTTGCCTACATTTGGAATGTCATTTTACTGCAAGAAATGCTTAATTCTGCAGGAGTTAATATTAACGCTATGTGCGAGGTTATAGACCTACAATCAGTGTCCAGATTTCATTTTTCATTTAACCCATCTGAACAGTAGGCTATAGTTTCCTTGACGTGTCATAGGCCTATTTGAAGTCCTCGTCTTGTGACTGTCGAATTTGTACAGCACCTCACACATAACATAGCCGGCAATGCTATCATCCTCTTTTACCACTTCACCAAATATTTTCCAAACATAATTTTTCTGGCCCTCTTTATTTTCAACTCTCCATTTCTCAGCTTTTCTCTAATTGAATTAAACTCCGACATTGTTCTTTTTTAGCCTCCGTGGATTGACATTAACTTTTTCTGCCCGTTCCCAAAAGTATTTGACGATTGGCGTGTAGGCTATTTGGTGCACGTACAGTTAGGCCCTAAATCTTAGGCTTATACACTAGTGCCAGATAGCCTAACATAATTAAAGAAAAACCTCAATGTAGCCTATAGATATAAATTGCACAATAATTATACATTTATGGATTTTTTAAGGTATTGTTTTCTCTTTATTCAACCTGCCAATCACCCACCCACCCTTCATCCACACAGTATTTCATGACCCTAAACCCACGCTGCGGATATAACCGCGGTGACTGCGGGTTATGAGTCAACACGCGCATTACTTGCGTTTGTGTGTGAATTAAAACCCCAGCACCATCCATTAGTTCCTCTTTTTGCCTCTCTCTTCTGCTCCTCTCTCTTCTGCTCCTCTTTCTTCTACTCCTCTCTCTTCTGCTCCTCTCTCTTCTGCTCCTCTCTCTTCTGCTCCTGTCTCTTCTGCTCCTCTTTCTTCTGCTCCTATCTCTTCTGCTCCTCTCTCTTCTGCTCCTCTTTCTTCTGCTCCTCTCTCTTCTGCTCCTCTCTCTTCTGCTCCTCTCTCTTCTGCTCCTCTCTCTTCTGCTCCTCTTTCTTCTGCTCCTCTTTCTTCTACTCCTCTCTCTTCTGCTCCTCTTTCTTCTACCCCTCTCTCTTCTACTCTTTCTTCTACTCCTCTCTCTTCTGCTCCTCTCTCTTCTGCTCCTCTCTCTTCTCTCTTCTGCTCCTCTCTCTTCTACTCCTCTCTCTTCTGCTCCTCTCTCTTCTGCTCCTCTTTCTTCTGCTCCTCTCTCTTCTCTCCAGTCTTCCTTCTGTTGCCTGAGGAATCTTTGTCCACTAAGTGTGTGAGTGTGTCTGGACAGCCAAGTTCCTTTACTAACGGTGTGCTTCTGCTGATCTCCAAGATGCTTAGTATCCTCTTAAATGTACAGTCTTTATCTGCTATGATGGGTGCAAAGGAAATGGTATTTGTGTTTGTTGGGATTGAATTGCTGAAAGTCTCTGTTCTTTTTTTGCTAAGATACTTGAAACTCTCTCTTTCTCTTGCAGAATTTGAAAGTAGCTGTGCCTGAGTCTATTGCCTCTGAACTAGGTAAGATGGTTCAACCCTTTTTGTTTACACTTAATCCTCTCAGATCTTGTATAAGTTTAGCAACAGTTATAGCAATACAGTACTGTATCGTCTACTGTAATTGATTAGAACGTTTCCAAAAAAGGGAGACAGCTTGAAACTGTGTGAGTGCAGTTGGCCCGTGTAGCTCAGTTGGTAGAGCATGGCGCTTGCAACGCTAGGGTTGTGGGTTCGATTCCCACGGGGGGCCAGTATGAGAAAAAAAAGATGTATGCACTAACTGTAAAGTTGCTCTGGATAAGAGCCTCTGCTAAATGACTGTAATGTGTGTGTCTGAATGTGTGTGTGTGTGTTGACTAACATGCTGTTGTGTGTTCCCAGATCGGCGGAGACCTGAGCTGATCCCAGAGGAGCTGCACAGACAGTACACACAGCTGCTACAGGACACACTGCTACCAGACATCCAGGGGAACCTAGAGGACTTCAGGTCACACACACACACACATTCAGACAGACACATGTACACCAGTGGCGGTCAGTGCCGTTTAAGATGAGGGAGGACACATTTTTTTCATGAGCATGGCCTTATTTCTATTACAGCATATTGGATGACTGTCATTCATATTCCATTCACCCAGTTCAATGTAACAGCGATAGGTTTAGACTACTACATCATACTCAAATTTTCCCTATACCCATCATGAGGTTGCTACAACCTAGCCTATTAAATAAAGTTTACAACGTAGCTGCACACAGGTCGAGAGACAAATTTGAGGTGACAGACAGTGACACATGGACAGACAGTGACATTCAATACCGCCTTGCACACTCTTGCCTGCATCTAGGTGATATCATTAGTCCAACAGTTGCAAACGAGAGTTTCTATTGGACAAATTCAAGTATGTTTATCCCCGTTTTGTTCCGTTTGCTTCTGTTTAAGAAACGTTTTTCAACAGAATTGGCAGAATGAATATACCCCTGATCATGCGTAAATACACAGCCACGTTGTATTCCTTCTCGCATGCGCTCTCCTCCTCTCACCTCTTCCCTTCGCTTGTGGACATCAATCCACAACACATCAGCTGGATGTGACCAGGCGAAAAAACCTTTCCAAGCCAAACCGCTACACACAGCCTACATCGTTGTCACAATTTTAGCTAAGGTAACGTCATAGTCAGCAAAGCTAATAGAACTAACGCGTTAGTAAACCCGCTACAATCATGCAGTGACGTTACAGTGTACAGTCAGTAAGCAGTTACACCGGCAGGCCTCGGTGGCAATAAATTAGTAAAACCAAAAGTTTACATTGACTTGGAAGAGTTCCTGTGTTGGGTTGGATAGTCATAGCCAGCTAGCTAACATAGCATCCCTCTGTTTGAGCAGGGTGTTTCAGTAGGCTAAACTAGCTAGCTGCATTTGCTAGCTAAGTAAGTGAAACTGAAAGTGAAAAAAAAATGACAAATCTCTCTCTATATACAGTGGGGAGAACAAGTATTTGATACACTGCCGATTTTGCAGGTTTTCCTACTTACAAAGCATGTAGAGGTCTGTAATTTTTTATCATAGGTACACTTCAACTGTGAGAGACGGAATCTAAAATAAAAATCCAGAAAATCACGTTGTATGATTTTTAAGTAATTAATTTGCATTTTATTGCATGACATAAGTATTTGATCACCTACCAACCAGTAAGAATTCCGGCTCTCACAGACCTGTTAGTTTTTCTTTAAGAAGCCCTCCTGTTCTCCACTCATTACCTGTATTAACTGCACCTGTTTGAACTCATTACCTGTATAAAAGACACCTGTCCACACACTCAATCAAACAGACTCCAACCTCTCCACAATGGCCAAGACCAGAGAGCTCTGTAAGGACATCAGGGATACAATTGTAGACCTGCACAAGGCTGGGATGGGTTACATGACAATAGGCAAGCAGCTTGGTGAGAAGGCAACAACTGTTGGTGCAATTATTAGAAAATGGAAGAAGTTCAAGATGACGGTCAATCACCCTCGGTCTGGGGCTCCATGCAAGATCTCACCTCGTGGGGCATCAATGATCATGAGGAAGGTGAGGGATCAGCCCAGAACTACACGGCAGGACCTGGTCAATGACCTGAAGAGAGCTGGGACCACAGTCTCAAAGAAAACCATTAGTAACACACTTTGCCATCATGGATTAAAATCCTGCAGCGCACGCAAGGTCCCCCTGCTCAAGCCAGCGCATGTCCAGGCCCGTCTGAAGTTTGCCAATGACCATCTGGATGATCCAGAGGAGGAATGGGAGAAGGTCATGTGGTCTGATGAGACAAAAATAGAGCTTTTTGGTCTAAACTCCACTCGCCGTGTTTGGAGGAAGAAGAAGGATGAGTACAACCCCAAGCCGTGAAGCATGGAGGTGGAAACATCATTCTTTGGGGATGCTTTTCTGTAAATGGGGACAGGACGACTGCACCGTATTGAGGGGAGGATGGATTGGTCCATGTATCGCGAGATCTTGGCCAACAATCTCCTTCCCTCAGTAAGAGCATTGAAGATGGGTCGTGGCTGGGTCTTCCAGCATGACAACGACCCGAAACACACAGCCAGGGCAACTAAGGAGTGGCACCGTAAGAAGCATCTCAAGGTCCTGGAGTGGCCTAGCCAGTCTCCAGACCTGAACCCAATAGAAAATCTTTGGAGGGAGCTGAAAGTCCGTATTGCCCAGCGACAGCCCCGAAACCTGAAGGATCTGGAGAAGGTCTGTATGGAGGAGTGGGCCAAAATCCCTGCTGCAGTGTGTGCAAACCTGGTCAAGACCTACAGGAAACATATGATCTCTGTAATTGCAAACAAAGGTGTCTGTACCAAATATTAAGTTCTGCTTTTCTGATGTATCAAATACTTATGTCATGCAATAAAATGCAAATTAATTACTTAAAAATCATACAATGTGATTTTCTGGATTAGATTCCGTCTCTCACATTTGAAGTGTACCTATGATAACAATTACAGACCTCTACATGCTTTGTAAGTAGGAAAACCTGCAAAATCGGCAGTGTATCAAATACTTGTTCTCCCCACTGTATATATTTCTCTCTTGCTTCTCCTTCATTTTGGAATAAATTAATTTGTTAAAAACTGTTCAACTATTGTCTTTGTCTCTCTTTGAGTCAATTACTCACCACATTTTATGCACTGCAGTGCTAGCTAGCTGTAGCTTATGCTTTCAGTACTAGATTCATTATCTGATTCTTTGATTGGGTGGACAACATGTCATTTCATGCTGCAAGAGCTCTGATATGTTGGAGGACATCCTCCGGAAGTTGTCATAATTACTGTGTAAGCCGATGGAAGGGGGTGAGAACCATGAGCCTCCTAAGTTTTGTATTGAAGTCAATGTACCTAGAGGAGGACGGAAGCTAGCTGTCCTCCGGCTACACCATCGTGCTACCCTACAGAGTGCTGTTGAGGCTACTGTAGACCTTCTTTGCTAAATAGTGTGTTTTAATCAATTATTTGGTGATGTGATTATATTTAGTATAGTTTTATCTAAAAAGGAAAACTTTTTCAATGCTTTATCATTTTTATTTTTATGAATTTCACTGAGAAGACTGGTCTTCCCCTTCCTCCTCTGAGGAGTCTCCACTGATATACACAGTCTCTTTTTTTCTCTCTCTCTCTCTCTCACACACACACACACACAAACCCACACACCATAAATGCACACTACAAACACACACGTGAGCACACTCACACTTCTCAAAGATGATGATTTGCACATAATTAATGAATGGATTAATCATACGTGTTTGTTTGCGTGTGGGCGCGCATGTGTCTGCCTGTGTCTGTCTGTGCATCTGTGCTTATCTGCCTATATGTGTCTACAGGCAGAAGCGCAGCATGGGTCTGACCCTGGCAGAGGGGGAGCTGGCTAAGCTGGACACAGAGAGGGTGAGAGACCGCGTGGCGCTGGAGAGAGAACGCTCCTGTGCCGAACACATAATCTCCAAGATAGAGGACGTGCTGTAAGTCTCTGAAATACATGCATACACACACAGGGACAGAAAAACGTGCGCGCAACACAGTGACAGAAACACGTGCGACATGGCACAAGAGTCAGGTCGAATACAGCTGTTGGCTCTGTTTTCCACGTACCCTTTGAGATAGACAGGAGGCGAGTGTAGTGTACAATTGCACATTCTTTCTTACACACACACACATGCCACTACAAACACAGGAGCATGATGTTATCAGCTCCATAAGGATGATCTAGTCTGGTAATGGCATAAGGTGTAGGTTAGAGTACAATAGAGTGTTGTCTCCAGTTACTGTGTGTGTGTAGAATAAATTGTACCACATGCACACACACAGACACACCGACACACACACACACAGACATTCTGGGGGTTATTTCCAGGTCAGTGAGTGCTTGCGTGTCTCTGCAACTCCGGGCCTCAAACACTCCAAACTGGACAGATCACAGGGATTTAGATAGATAGATAGAGCTCTATCATCTCACTCTCCGAAGACCGTCTCTCCTCCCTGAAATGTAGCCTTTTGTTTTGTGTTTTTGATGTCAGTGTGACGTTTTAGGCCATTTTGGCATGTACTGTAACTAATAGCTACCAATGTTTTGACGTTTGCATGCCCATGCAGATTTGGGCCTTTTGAAACTGCGGTGCAAATATTTCTGTCCTTTGGGGTTTTGTTTGATAAGAGAATAAACCTCAGTCGGTGTCTCTACTTACTGTTGTGAGTTATAATAGTAGAATATACCAGGTGCAATTTCGAAATGTGGTTGTCCATCAGCAGTTTTTCTCTTGTTGTCAGTCACTGACAGTCACTCAATTAGCCCATGTCAGCTACATTTTTTTTAGATTGGTAAATTAGTCTAGCCAGCTATCAAACCTTGTAGTAATCATGGTCAATTACCGACCGGGGGGCCCCCATTGATTTTGTTTGTCACCCTCACTCAGATATCATATTAAAAACTGCAAACATTTCTCTCCACCCTATGGCAAAATGTGAAGAATTGCAGGAAATTAACTCAAAAACTTTTTTCTCTCTCTACTGTCAAGAGGGGGGGGTGGGGCAACAAAATGTCACTTAGCGCCCCAAAAAGGCTAGGACCTGCTCTGACTGCATGTGTGGGTATGGATGTGGGTACGCAGACCCTCATGATGAGTTCAGATTTTTTGTGGCCCCCACCCCTATCAAAGTTGCCCATCCCTGAGATAAAGGCTAATGGAACTATATTGCCATTACACCAGAAGACTTCACATTTGTCCTTTTGTAGTATAAGGGAAACTGTGTGTGGTGTGTGTCAGTTAACCCTGTGTGTGTTTTTCTCCTTCCAGGCTGACGTCACAGCCCACAGAAGAGGAGAAGTGGTAAGAAGGGGGATCTTTCCATGTACAGTGTCTAACTATAACCAAATGATGTTAGAATAAGTCTAGGACTCAATAGGTCTGTTGTCATACTAGAGTCTAGACAGTGGAAGTAGCGGTGTTGATTGTTGAATGAATTCAAGTGAGTGTGTGTTGTCATACAGTGGTTGTAGCGGGGTGTGGGCGGCAGGTAGCCTAGCGGTTAAGAGCATTGGGCCAGTAACTGAAAGGTTGATGGTTCGAATCCCTGAGCCGACTAGGTGAAAAATCTATCGAAGTGCCCTTGAGCAAGGCACAACCCAAATTGCTCCTGTAAGTTGCTCTGGATAAGAGTGTCTGCTAAATGACTAAAATGTAAATGTATGTATTCAATTACTCGTCAAGGTGAATCACACATACTTTATCTGGGCCAGTATTCTCTGTGTAGGAGTGCTGATCTAAGATAATTTCGCCCCTTTTGGATCATAATTAATATTATTATATTGACAGGGGGGACCTGATCCTAGATCCGCACCCCTACTATCATACGCTTTGTGAATGCGGGCCCTGTTCTGAAGTCAATGTGTATTGGAATTAGGTTCTCTGATACTTGGTTTAATACTCTATTCAGTGATTATTAGCGAGCTGGACACAGTCAAGAAACTGTATGAATGTAGGTCCATTATATTTTATACATAGTTTCGATTTGGTTTGAGTCATTTTAAAGTATATTGAGTTGCATGAATTCCATCAGCATGTTGTGTATCCATCCTGTGAGAAAAGCTGTTGGAGTGGCACAGGTTACTTTTGCCCAAAAGTAGTGCACTATATAGGGAATAGGGTTCCATTTGTGATGCATCCTGAGAGTCTGCCATCAGTGGTTATCATAGTGTCCTCTCACTCTATCTGCTGGAGATCTGTGGTACTACACACTTTCAGTTAGGTCGTGTTCATTAGGCACCAAATGGTAGAAAACAGACCGAAAGGGGGAGGGACTACCTGGTCTTGACCAATGCAAAAAGCCCATTTTAGTTTTCTGTTGCAAAACGTTTTCGGTTGCACGCCCTTATGAACACGACCCTGTTTTGAGATAATTAATCGTATTGAAGAATAAGGTGATAGTAAAAACTGATCAGGTCAGGTTTAAAGAAACGTGACCTAACCTTTTCATTCGATTTTCCCCAAATGTACTTCTAGTGATTGATAACGTGTCATATTAGACTGTTTTCAAAGAGCCTTGGGAGACATTTATGTATCATGAGATTTTCTTTTAGAAAGTATAATTATTATTTCAGTTAATCAATATGATGGTTGAATGATTATAAATTATTTCATATTATTAAGATCAAGATGGCTGTACTGGACCTTTAATGTTAATTAAAAGTGTATTAATGGTAATATTAACAGTTAATTAAAGACATGCTCCAGAACTTTGGCACTACTAAGTATTTTTTAAACCTCCCGCTTTGGGCTGGATGTGTCAATGTGTAGTTCATACATGCATAATCTATGAGCAGAATTACTGTCTTACCTCAATTACCCACGAAATCCCTAGTTTGAAAGCAACAGTTTTTCTGGAAGCTGTGCTACACCATTTTCCCTACAAATTGCTAGGGCCCTAGCAATTTGAGTTCAACCAATGAGCTTCAGCCCCTCACCGTATGAATGACTAGCAACATGCACATGATTCACCAACAGCAGAGCGAGAGAGAGAGCAATGACATGGTGCACATATCTGCACATATGTGACGTAGTACGCAATTATCTAGGATCACTTTTTGCTCGTGAGCGCTACTTTCAGAACTACTGGCTAAAAAGTATACAAAAGTACCAGAGAATCCCTTTAATAGTGTATTGTGTTGTGTTCCAGCACTACTATGCAGTATGTCATCCTCACCTATATGAAACATCTGGGAGTTAAAGTGAAGGAACCGCGTAGCCTAGAGCCCAAACGAGTCCGCATCAACTTCCTGCCCAAGATCAAGGTACAACACACACACAACTAGACGCATCAATTATGCATTTGAGCACAATACCGTAGTCTTTTACTGCTTGTAGGAACTTCACTTTTTAGTACTACCCAATTGGTAGTTACAGTCTTGTCCCATCGCTGCAACTCCTGTACGGACCCGGGAGAGAGCCATGCATTCTCCGCAACACGACCGCGCCAAGCCGCATGCTTCCTGACACCAATGTGTCGGAGGAAACACCGTACAGCTGGCGACTGAAGTCAGTGTGCATGCGCCCAGCCGCCACAAGGAGTCACTAGAGCGCGATGGGACAGGGACATGCCAGCCAAACCCTCCTCTAACCCGGACGACGCTGGGCTAATTGTACGGTGCCTCATGGGTCTCCCGGTCGCGACCGGCTGCAACACAGCCCGGGATCGAACCCGGGTCTGTAGTGACGCCTCTAGCACTGCAGTGCCTTAGACCGCTGCACCACTCAAGAGGCCAGGAATTCACATTTGATGTAGCATAAATCATTCTGTTTCTTCCCATGGTGGCACTGTTTTACTCACACTTGTTAACATTATTCCAGGGCAGCGTTCAGCAGGGTGCAATGTTGTGCAATGTTCAGATAGTAACATGCCTCTCTGACATGTAGAATATGTGTAATGAAGGATAAAGGATCACATCAGCTCTATTCATGACATGTCTATCTGCAACGTTCCACAACGTTTGCTTACTAAATGTGGCCCAGCTTTAAATTCTCTGACTGGGTGGTTTGAATTTGTTTTTGTTCTGTGGAGCAGAAGAGCATCAAAACTGAGAAAGAGGGGGAGGAGAAGGTGAAGAAGCCTCGTTTTCCAAACATCCTCGGCCCTCCTCGTCGGCCCAGCCGTGTGGACTCCACTTCAAGTAAGTGTAGAAGTCTACAAAGTGTTCCCTCCTAGTGTGCAGCACCAGTGTGGAACAAAAAAAACACAATGGTTAGTTTGAGATGCGTAACAGGCTCTGTAGTGATGTCAAATATCAAGTTGAGATATGATGTTAATATTGAGCCTGTTACACATCTCAAACTAACCATTGTAATTTTTTGTAATTCTTAACTTTTTTTGAGATTCTCAACGATTCCATTTCGATTCAGTCAATTCAGGAAGTAAACTGAAATTCCAATAACGAGTTTTCCTCATAGAAAAGCATTGAGAAAGTTCTGAATTGGAATTTCAGTTCACTTCCTGATTTTACTGAATTGAAATGGAATTGACCCAAACCCTGAGAGGAATCCACGTAAAAAAGCCACAATTCCTGACATTTAATCCTAGTAGAAATTCCCTGTCTTAGGTCAGTTAGGATCACCACTTTATTTTAAGAATGTGAAATGTCAGAATAATAGTAGAGAGAATTATTTCTTTCAGTTTTATTTCTTTCATCACATTCCCAGTGGGTCAGAAGTTTACATACACTCAATTAGTATTTGGTAGCATTGCTTTTAAATTGTTTAACTTGGGTCAAACGTTTCGTGTAGCCTTCCACAAGCTTCCCACAATAAGTTGGGTGAATTTTGGCCCATTCCTCCTGACAGAGCTGGTGTAACTGAGTCAGGTTTGTAGGCCTCCTTGCTCGCACAGCTTTTTCAGTTCTTCCCATACATTTTCTATATGATTGAGGTCAGGGCTTTGTGATGGCCACTTTGTTGTCCTTAAGCCATTTTGCCACAACTTTGGAGGTATGCTTAGGGTCATTGTCCATTTGGAAGACCCATTTGCGACCAAGCTTTAACTTCCTGACTGATGTCTTGAGATGTTGCTTCAATATATCCACATAATTTTCCTTCCTCATGATGCCATCTATTTTGTGAAGTGCACCAGTCCCTCCTGCAGCAAAGCACCCCCACAGCATGATGCTGCCACCCCCGTGCTTCACGTTGGGATGGTGTTCTTCGGCTAGCAAGCATCCCCCTTTTTCCTCCAAACATAACTATGGTCATTATGGCCAAACAGTTCTATTTTTGTTTCATCAGACCAGAGGACATTTCTCCAAAAAGTACAATCTTTGTCCCCATGTGCAGTTGCAAACCGTAGTCTGACTTTTTTATGGTGGTTTTTGAGCAGTGGCTTCTTCCTTGCTGAGCGGCCTTTCAGTGTGGATATAGATACTTTTGTACCTGTTTCCTCCAGCATCTTCACAAGATCCTTTGCTGTTGTTCTGGGATTGATTTGCACTTTTTGCACCAAAGTACGTTCGTCTCTAGGAGACAGAACACGTCTCCTTCCTGAGCGGTATGACGGCTGCGTGGTCCCATGGTGTTTATACTTGCGTACTGTTGTTTGTACAGATGAACGTGGTACCTTCAGGCATTTGGAAATTGCTCCCAAGGATGAACCAGACTTGTGGAGGTCTACAATTTGTTTTCTGAGGTCTTGGCTGACTTATTTTTGATTTCCCATGATGTCAAGCAAAGAGGCACTGAGTTTGAAGGTAGGCATTGAAATACATCCACAGGTACACCTCCAATTTACTCAAATTATGTCAATTAGCCTATCAGAGCTTCTAAAGCCATGACATCCTTTTCTGGAATTTTCCAAGCTGTTTAAAGGCATAGTCAACTTAGTGTATGTAAACTTCTGACCCACTGGAATTGTGATACAGTGAATTATAAGTGAAATAATCTGTCTGTAAACAATTGTTGCAAAAATTACTTGTGTCATGCACAAAGTAGATGTCCTAACCGACTTGCCAAAACTATAGTTTGTTAACAAGAAAGTTGTGGAGTGGTCAAAATGATTGGCACCCCTGTTTTCAATACTTTTGTATGTATTGTACTTTATTTTTTCCCCTTGTGAGAATAACGACACTGTGATTATTGTGGATAGTCGGTTAATATAATAGTTCGTTTAAACGTTTATATGCTTTGGAAGAATAACAATTTCCCTAATAATCCTGTTTACATGAAATCAGGCTACTGATGGTACTTTTGATAAAAGCAGAAAATTGGCAATCAAAATAAACGTTCTACCACAGTGACCTGTTATTTTTGCGAAGACTTTGATTCTGAGTTCAGACATATAAGGTTTATGTGAAAACTATTTATAAGATGCATAGTTTCAGTTTTTCCGAACTCACTTCACTCGCGCATAAGAGGGAGCCTTAGTTTTTCTGCTAAGGGGACAGGACAACTTCACCGCATCAAAGGGACGATGGACGGGGCCATGTACTGTCAAATCTTGGGTGAGAACCTCCTTCCCTCAGCCAGGGCATTGAAAATAGGTCGTGGATGGGGATTCCAGCATGACAATGACCCAAAACACACGGCCAAGGCAACAAAGGAGTGGCTCAAGAAGAAGCACATTAAGGTCCTGGAGTGGCCTAGCCTGTCTCCAGACCTTAATCACATAGAAAATCTGTGGAGGGAGCTGAAGGTTCGAGTTGCCAAACGTCAGCCTCGAAACCTTAATGACTTGGAGAAGATCTGCAAAGAGGAGCGGAACAAAATCCCTCCTGAGATGTGTGCAAACCTGGTAGCCAACTACAAGAAATGTCTGACCTCTGTGATTGCCAACAAGGGTTTTGCCACCAAGTACTAAGTAATGTTTTGCAGAGGGGTCAAATACTTATTTCCCTCATTAAAATGGAAATCTATTTATAACATTTTTGTTATGCGTTTTTCTGGATTTTTTTGTTGTTATTCTGTCTCTCACTGTTCAAATAAACCTACCATTAAAATTATAGACTGATCATTTCTTTATCAGTAGACAAAAGTACAAAATCAGCAGGGGATCAAATACTTTTTTCCCTCACTGTATTTTTTGCACATATTGCCCAGCTCTACTCTGGTGTCAAAATTACCCCAGTCGGTAGCATGAAGGTTAAATGATGCGCAAAGCCACGAACCCTAAGACTCCTCCAGAAATAACAGGAAATTGTATACTTCTGACATCAAAGCCAACAACAAGCTACTGACGTAATACAGTATTATGGAAAATCTACAGTGTGCCTGTCTTTCATATGTCCACTCAACCATAGTCCCTCATGTATTATATAGATTATATATTTAAATATCTGTGATGAACATGAATTCAACTACTCAACTGGCATCCTTTCTTCAAATGAGATGTATTCATACATGTGTACAGTATGGTCATACTTTGGTAGAACCACTGAACAAGCTAAATCTGTGTGATCTGTCCCTACAGTAGCATTCCTATTAGTGCACTTTCTCTGTCACAGCCCAGAGCAGGTCTTGCCTTCTCAATAGATGCCATTTAACCGGCTGTCACAATCTTCGTACAATCAGCACGAACCCCTCGGGATGTAGCGTTCAACAGTGCATCCCACAGAGCACATCTTGATGTTCTTCTTTATCAATAGCTACCGCAGCGCTTTTCCATTTCAGATAAGCGCGCTCTTCCATCCACCGTCACTTGTTACGCTCTGTGTCGCCCAGTACTCTCTCTCTCCTGAGCTGTCACTTCATTCTCTCTTTCCAGATCCTTGATATCCTTCGTCTGCTTCAATTCAAACCACAGGTTTTCAATGAGGTTCAGTGGAAGCAAAATAGCCCCATAACATCAAAGATCCACTACTATATTGTACTGTAGGTATGAGGTACTTTTCTGCATATGCTTCTGTTTTTCAACACCAAATCCATCACTGGTGTTTGTGGCCAAGGAGCTCTATTTTCATGTAAAGTGACCATAGCACCTCCTAGAGTTTGATAAATGGCATTGACACTTGGTTTGGAACCGGTGCTATTGTCAGAAGACATGAAAATAGAGCTCTTTGGCCACGACATCAGTGGTGGGTTTGGCCTTAAAAACAGAAGCATATGCAGGAAAGTACTTCGTACCTAAGGTAAAATATGGTGGTGGATCTTTGATGTCATGGGGCTATTTGGCTTCCACTGGTCCTGGGGCCATTGTTAAGGTCAATGGCATCATGAACTTTATTACCGTGGATTGCCCATGGATATGTGAGCTACAGTACTGACTGTAGTTTATTTTAACATGCACGTGTGCTTGTGTGTTTGTTTGTTTGCTTGTTTGTGTGTGTGTGTAGTCAGCAAGGCCATAGAGATGAACAAGCAGCGGGGCCCCCAGAAGCAGCTCTCCCAGCTTGCCCTAAGCGTCCCCGATCACCCAGAATCCTCAGCGGGCAGCACCTGCGGCAGCCAATCCAGCGAACCAGGCTTGGATGTGGCCACCCACCCCTCTGCCTTCATCGCATCACCCCCCCACAGTGCCCCAGCCAGCCAGGGCTCCGATCCCACAGGACGCGATTTTGACTCGGGTAAGGACCCCTTGTCTCTTCCCCACCCCCATGCCTTTCCTCCTTACTCTTTCTTCCTATTTGCCTTTTCCTCTCCAATTCTCTCGAATAATGATAGAAGGTAAAGGACTGTGTTATAGCGCTGAAGTGCTTTTCCAAGTGCTCAAATTGCTATATATTTGAGGGGCGGACTCACCTCATCCAATATCAACTATTTCTTTCTCTCTCTCTCTCTCTCTCTCTCTCTCTCTCTCTCTCTCTCTCTCTCTCTCTCTCTCTCTCTCTCGCTCTCTCTGTCTCTCGCTCGCTCGCTCTCTCTCTCGCTCGCTCTCTCTCTCTCTCTCGCTCTCTCTCTGTCTCTCTCGCTCTCTCTCTGTCTCTCTCTCTGTCTCTCTCTCTCTCTCTCTCTCTGTCTCTCTCTCTCTCTCTGTCTCTCTCTCTCTCTCTCTCCATGTCTTCCCTCTAGCTTCCTCTCTATATTTCCCTGCACCACCCCATCCCTATCTCTCCCACGCTGTTTGTTTGCCTTTGTTCTGTGGTCCACTCCTCTCTGACAAGTTCGCTCCCTGGCTTTTTGTTGTCAGGACTTCATTACACTGGCTTAGCCTGTCTTACAGTGGCCCAGCCTTCTGGAAAATAATAGCCTTCTTTGGTTCTTCTTGTTTATTCATAATTGGGGGGCGGCCTTATTGTCCGAATGTCGTCTAGTCTTTGTCTGTCGAAACAACCCCTCTCTATTTTAGTTTTGGACGTCCTGCTATATCTCATACGGATATTCTTTCTTGCACTGCTTTTAGACTAAAGGGGATCTTTTTTTTGTTCCATCACACGATAAGACAATGAACACAGCGTAAATGTGGACTAACATGCTTCTCTTCGATGGAGATCTTGTTTGACCTTCTGAATGAAGAAACTTCTGTGAGCCTTCGCCGTATTACTTAGGACATTATTGCCTCCTGTAGGACTTAAGTGGAGTAGAATATGACTTTATTAATTTACATGGAGAGGAACATTCACCCTGGTAGAATTGAATACAGCTTTATTAATCCACTTGGAGAGGGACATTGTGGATTTAGGATCAGTCTTGCCTTTTAGATCACAGTGAAAATAGGATTACAGGGCCAGTAGGGACATGATTGTAGATCAGCACTCTTACTCAGAGATGCTTTTTACATACAGCCCCTGACCTCTCCTCTCCTCCTTTGTTCTCTCCTCTCCAGGTCTCACTCCCTCCTCTGCCCTGCCCAGACTGAGCTCTGACGGGCTCCACTCGGGCGACGCCCAGGACAGGATGGCCCACACCACCAGCACACGCTTTGACTTCAGCCCCTGCACCCTGGACCAATTGCAGGAGGAGGAGCGCGAGAGTGACAGGTAAGTGCGGGACAAGGTCATGGTGTCAGGGGTTGGATTAAACTCATGCTGACTATGCGGTGCTAACTGCTAGACCACACAAGCCACAGGGTCTATACACTTTTGATTGTATCTGTCTTATTATAACACACAGCTAGGCGTTGATTTGACTTTGGGGAATATACAACTTAAATATGGAGGTGGATAGACATGGGGGCTTGGAATCATTGCCATCATTGGACATTCCTAGACAGTCGCGACCATTGTCATTCGAAATTCAGGCTAATGGGGCCATTGAAGTCAATTGGCTCCATGAGCCTTTTTCACGTGACCTTTTTTTTTTTAGAAAGTGCTATTTATTTATTTTACTAAACTATGAGGTAAGCGAGAAAACATGAATCAATGTATTTTACAACCCATGCAAAAAACAAAAGGAACAAAATAGTTTGATAATTTCTTTGCTTGCTGTGGCGTTTACCCCCCTCAAAAATCATATTGTTTACAGGTTATAGTGACATAGGCTTATCGACTTGGTGACAGCACCTTTCCATATGATGTGCTAGTTACTTAGCCTACATGACCATTGAGCAGTATGCCGCGTAGAAATACAGAGTGCAGATCTGCTGTAATCAAATGTGATGGTTTCAGCAATACATAGTGAATGTCTAATCTGCTCAAGGGTTGATAAACTCTAATCTATACCATCCTTTCATCTCAAACGGTAGATCTAATCTGAGTCAGGACTGTCTTCTGGGTCAACACAAATCTATGCTAAGTCTACATCCCAAATGGCACCCTATTCCCTATATAGTCAAAAGTAGTGCACTAAATAGGGAATAGGGTGCCATTCGGGATGCAAACTAAATCGCATGCTGGGTGAATTGCATGATCACTGAACTATTGGTCCGAGGAGGGAGCAAGCTTTCCCAGAAAAAGCCTTCCAAGGCAGAACGTTTTGCTGATGTGTTGGTCCACTGCCAAGCTCATTCGTTATCATCCAACATGATGAAAGTGTGTTGACGGGGACTGTGATCTTCTCTCTCCAGGGTTCAAGATGGAGGCACCCCCAAACCAGCCCGGAGGTGAGTCTTTTTCTACTTTTATTTGTGTTGTTGTTGTTGTTGTCAATTTCATGTAATGTTGTTTACAGACCTGGGTTCAAATACTTTTTGAAATCTTTCAAATACTTTGAGCAGTTGCTCTAGCCTGCCTGGAGTGCCAGTTGGGTGGGGTTTGCAGTTTAAGGACTGTTCTATTCTATTTAGCCTGGCAAGCTCAATCAAGTACGGATAAAGAATTTGAAATGATTTCAAATAGTATTTGAATCCAGGTCAGTTTTTTTTTTTTTACATCTCTGTAGTTATATGAATGTTTGGCATGAATGGGAACTGATTTTCCTCAGTTGTTCTGTGGCACCAGCTATTCAAAGGGTTTGCGTTGCCCACACAATTTAATGAACTGAATCAGTGGTGCTTGATTAATCATGATTAACGTGATTAAGCTTTAACTTAACTCTGGCAAAACCTTTGAATAGAATTGATTTAGTTACTTGTCCCCCTCTCTCTACGCATTATTAAAGGCTTGACATCTGCACTTAGTAACTCGGTAACTTCCCAATTAATCACACATTGATCTCAATCGTAGAGTTGCGCTTTAATCTTGTTTAAGTGGGCCCATGGCTGTGTTCATTAGGTACCAGGTCTCCCTTGTAAAAGAGGTCTTCTGACCTCAACGGGACTTCCTGGATAAATAAAGGTAAATAAAACCAAACAGAAGAAGACTGACTGAAACAGGGAGGGACTACTGTCCAATAAGAAATGCTTGTTTTCCTTTTCCGTTGCAAAAATGTTGCCACTGCATGCCCTAATGAACACAATCCAGGTGTCATCACCAGAGACTTGTTGTTCTCATGTCAGGATGGAGGGTTTAGGCTGTGCAGATGTGCCGAGTGAGGACGACCTGGGGAATGAGATCGAGTGCGAGCAGGACCCTCCCAACTGGCAGACGCTGGTCAGCCGAGAGATCCTGGCAGGCCTGACGCCACAGGAGATCAAGAGACAGGAAGTCATCAACGGTGAGGCCGGTGACCATTTTTGTTCCACATAATGTACAGCTGCCTGGGGATCAGTCATACAGATAGAGTATTTTCATGCTATCAGTCTGCTAAAGATAGATTTGTTGAATATTGCAAGTAGTTTCATGTTAGCTGTTAAGCCTTTGAGACATTGTTATTGAGATGGCAAGTATGATGTGCTGTATTAGAATGTGTCCTTTATATTTTCATACATAGCTTCATATCCTAGCCGCCCCAGCCTGACCTTATTAGTTATTTGAGTTTGTGTCCATGACCAAGGCTATTGTGTCCATTCAAGTCAAGTGGTGAACTTTTTCACCATGAGTATCAGTGATGGTGGGTCCGCTAGCTAAACAACAAGCCACTAAAGTTTGTGTGATGTTTTCATAGAAAACCTCAATGTCTTGTCAGATGCGGTCACTTTAGAATGATGCCATCTGTCGGAAGAAGATGGGTTACACCTAGTTTATGACGGTCTGACCATAGAGATATATAATACACTAGTGGCTGATGTCATAGGCCTGCATAGCTTTAGAATGTGCTGACAATGGCAGCCATCTTGTTCTGTTTAATTATTTGGTTCTGACTTTGTGCGTCTCCACAGAGCTGTTCTACACGGAGCGAGCCCACCTGAGGATGTTGAAGGTGCTGGATAACGTGTTCTACCAGAAACTAACCCGAGACGGCATCCTGCCTCCTGGAGACATTAAACACATCTTCACTAACCTAGAGGAGATTGTCCAGCTACATGGTATGCTGTGTGTGTGTCAGTGTCGGTGTCTGTGTGCAATGCTAGCTATACTTACCATCGGGCCTCCTCTTCAGAGCTAGAGTTAAACTCCTCTCTCAGGGCTAATCCTAACTTCCACTTCACTCGGATTTTCACTTCCTAAATATTGAAATGGACCAATTCCCAAACAAATGTCTTATTTTCCCTGACTTTTTATGTTTTGCAGATCCAATCCTTGCTATCTCATTTTATGTAATCACTTAGCTATTTTCTCTTCCTCCCTACAGTGTCGATAACAGAACAGGTGACAGTCATTCGGAAGAAGAACGAGACGTCAGTGATAGACCTGATAGGAGACGATCTACTAGCTTGGGTAAGAAAAGACTCAACCTGCGTCCTAAATGGCACCCTATTCCTTTTATAGTGCATTACTTTTGACCAGAGCCCTATGGGCCATTTGGGACAAACCTTCCGTCACTGCAGGAGAGAAGAGGGGGGAGTATTACTGTACATCCAAAATTCATTGGGATAGCATTGTTGCGCGTGTGCGCGTGTGACATTTTCTGTGTCCGTGTGTGTGTTTGTGTGTCCATGCCCGTGCGTGTGTTTGTCTCTGTGTCCCTCCATGCGTGCGGGTGTGTCCATGTCCCCCCATGCGTATGTGTGTGCGCACATGTTACCATGTCCCTCTGTGTGTGCATGTGTAGTTCAGTGATGGCGAGGAGGAGAAGATCAAGCGGGCGGTGGGCACGTTCTGCAGTAACCAGCCCTTCGCTCTGGAACTCATCAAGACCCGGCAGAAGAAAGACCAGCGCTTCACCTCCTTTATGCAGGTACGACACAATATACTATATTTGTGAAGGTTCTGAAGGACTAAACGTTCTACTCAATGCATTTATAATTGCCGCTAATGAAGATTTTGTCTAAAGTGCATGATAGTGGCTTGGACACACAATTAGATTTCAAAAGGAAGCTAAACATTTGTAGAAAAAAACTGACTTTTGTCATCATTGTGATGTCATCAGATTGACTTTAGATGTAGTATAACGTTAGCTAGATAGGTAAGATTGAAGGAAAAGCACTGGATTTTAGCTAGCTAACTTTTCTTTTGCGAATGACAATATTGTCTAAATAAAATTTGACGACATCATAATATTATTTTTGGTTTCCTACTAACTATTCGCCTACTTTAGCAATGTCATCGTATTTCCAAGCCACTATAGTGTAATTTAGACTAAATGATCATTAGCCCCCATGGATGAGATGTCTTTAGAATGTTCAGGAGTCACTGTGAGTGAGACTCCTTTCTAGAGTCACTGTGGGTGAGACTCCTTTCTGGAGTCACTGTGGGTGAGACTCCTTTCTGGAGTCACTGTGGGTGAGACTCCTTTCTGGAGTCACTGTGGGTGAGACTCCTTTCTGGAGTCACTGTGGGTGAGACTCCTTTCTGGAGTCACTGTGGGTGAGACTCCTTTCTGGAGTCACTGTGGGTGAGACTCCTTTCTGGAGTCACTATGGATGAGACTCCTTTCTGGAGTCACTATGGATGAGACGTCTTAAGAATATTTATAACAATGGCATGACGTGACCAACTGACTTGAGGTGCAATCATGAATACCAAACTATGCTATACTATGCTTTTCTAAACTATGTATGTTATACTATTATGCTATTTTACTATATACTATTAAATACTATACTATACAGTATTATACTATACTGCACTACACTACACTATATACTATACTTTGCAATTCAATACTATACAATATAGTACAATACGATGATAATCACTCCCTCAAGCGCGTCTTAGAGGGCATCATCGTAACCATACAAGCTCAGTTATAGATGGGGAGATTCAAGACATGGATGAACTGGGGTGATCTGGCGTGAGTGACTGTAGTATTGACTCGGGTGTGTCTCTCGTCCTATAGGAGGCTGAGAGCAACCGTCTGTGTCGCAGACTGCAGCTGAAGGATATCATTCCAGTGGAGATGCAGAGGCTGACCAAGTATCCACTACTGCTGGAGAGCATTGCCAAGTACACAGGTACAGTAGACAGACACCACTATAAAACACAATGTCTGTCCACACAATTTATAAAGGTTGAGACTTGGGCCTGAAAAGAATTTGGAATACATTTAATCTCTCTTCTTCTGAGTCCACCTGTTGGAAGATAAGTATTGCATTTCTTTATAGTTGATTGAAGAGGGGTGTATATCCAAGCCCTATGATCTTCTAATATTTAATACAATTACTGAACTGAGGGGGGAAAAAGGCAGTTCTGCAGATTTAGCTACTGAAACTTTTATAACCAGAGATTGTAAAATCTGAAGAAGAAATAATCCTGAAGATTAGGCTATAAATGAAGCCGTCATTATCATCCCTTCACATTCTTGGTCATGTGTTTTTTGTAGTGCACTTATTTGGCCCATTCCATAAGACTGTATTGCACTTATTTGCAGGCCCAGCTCCAGGATGACATGCTTGAGGGGGCATTTTAAATCCATGGGAGGGCACAACTAGTATTGCTTTAGCGCCTTAATAACACAAAGTAGATTAGTCCTACTACTGTTCAAATGTACAAAAATGTATCTGAAATGAAGCTGTGCACATCAACAGCCGTCGCTTTATATAATAACAAAAGAAAGAGACAGTATGCACCCCACTACAACATGTGTATCCGAAATGCAACCATAGATGCAGTAGGCCTACACATAATTTGCGCCTACCAACACGCACAGATCAGCTCGACAGGATGAGCACCACTAGCTTATCAAATATTCTTACAGGTTTCATAGCTTAAACTTCAATAATTAGAACTATAGGCTAAATTTCTGTCGAATTTGTGACACTACGCAATGGGCGTAACCAAGCCGCTACTTCTCCAGGTGTGCAATATTTTCTGTGTGGGAGAGTTTCAGAAAAGCAAACTAAATCAAACTAAGTGCATATTCTATAGTAATAGCTGATGTGAAATGTCCTACCTGGCAGTAGCTAATTTGAATCTGCCGCGAATAAGAGTACATGCCCATTCCGATAGCAACACACACACACTATAGCAAGAGAGCAGAGATGGTGCGAAAAAGTAGGCTTTGTGTCATTTTGATAGTATTGACATCACTTTTACCTTAGCCTATCACACAATGACTGTGTAATGCAAATGTATGATAAGAGTGAAAGTGTGCCTACTTCTTTTAGTAGGCTACACATGGTATTGGTCCTACATACAAAATGTAAAAAAAAGATGTAGACCTATCTGGATTCGGAAAGTATTCATACCCTTTCCCCTTTTCCACATTTTGTTACGTTACAGCCTTATTCTAAACATGTATTTTTTTAACATCCTCATCAATCTATACACACTTCCCAATAATGACAAAGCGAAAAAAGGTTGTTTAGAAATATAAAAAACAGAAATACCTTATTTACATAGGTATTCAGACCCTTTGTTATGAGACTCGAAATTGAGCTCCGGAGCATCCTGTTTCCATTGATCATCCTTGAGATGTTTCTACAACTTGATTGGAGTCCACCTGTGGTAAATTCAATTGATTGGACATGATTTGGAAAGGCACACACCTGTCTATATAAGGTCCCACAGTTAACACTGCAAATCAGAGCAAAGACCAAGCCATGACTTTGAAGGAATTGTCCGTAGAGCTCCGAGACAGGATTGTGTTGAGGCACAGATCTGGGGAAAGGTACACATTTTATTTTCAGCATTGAAGGTCCCCAAGAACACAGTTGCCTCCATCATTCTTAAATGGAAGAAGTTTGGAACCACCAAGACTCTTCCTAGAGCTGGCCGCCCGCCAAACTGAGCAATCGGGGGAGAAGTGCCTTGGTCAGGGAGGTGACCAAGAACCCAATAGTCACTCTGACAGAGCTCCAGAGTTCCTCTGTGGAGATGGGAGAACCTTCCAGAAGGCAACCAGCTCTGCAGCACTCCACCAATCAGGTCTTAATGGTAGAGTGGCCAGACGGAAGCCACTCCTCAGTAAAAGGCACATGACAGCCCGCTTGGAGTTTGCCAGAAGGCATATCAAGGACTCTCAGAACATGAGAAACAAGATTCTCTGGCCTGATGAAACCAAAATTGAACTCTTTGGCCTGAATGCCAAGCGTCACATCTGGAAGAAACCTGGCACCATCCCCACGGGGGGCCAGTATGAAAAATGTATGCACTCACTAATTGTAAGTCGCTCTGGATAAGAGCGTCTGCTAAATGTCAATTGGATTGGACAACATCATGCTGTGGGGATGTTTTTCAGCAGCAGGGACTGAGAGACTAGTCAGGATTGAAGGAAAGATGAACGGAGCAAGGTACAAAGAGATGCTTGAGGAAAACCTGCTCCAGAGTGCTCAGGACCTCAGACTGGGGTGAAGGTTCACCTTCCAACGACCCTACGCACACAGCCAAGACAACACAGAAGTGGCTTCGGGACAAGTCTCTGAATGTCCTTGATTGGCCCAGCCAGAGCCCAGACTTGAACCTGATCGAACATCTCTGGCGAGACCTGAAAATAACTGTGCAGGAATGTTCCCCATTCAACCTGACAGAGCTTGAGAGGATCTGCCGAGAAGGATGGGAGAAACTCCCCAAATACAGGTGTGCCAAGCTTGTAGCATCATACCCAAGAAGCCTCGAGGTTGTAATCATTGCCAAAGGTGCTTCAACAAAGTACTGAGTATATGGTCTAAATACTTAGAATAAGGCTGTAACATAATAAAATGTGGAAAAAGTCAAGGGCTCTTTTTACACACAAGAAAGCAAGCAATGTTGAAGAAAAGCACGATAAAGGATAACGTTAGATGCACTGCCAATTTCAGTGTCACCTCAGAGCACAACCAGTACACTACATAGGTTATTGTCCCTATACCCGTCAAATAACACAAAGCTGTATATCTATCAATAGCAATTAGACCCACAAAAGCAAGCAATGACATTAAGAATCAAAGATAAATCTAAAAGATGCATTGAAGTAAATAGCAAACTTCTAAAACTATGCGTTACATTAAAAAATCTGCCAAACAACCAGTAGGCTTACATGAGGGAAAACCAAATAATTAATCATTCTGGCACGGCGGCCAGGCCCATAAAGGTTGTAGCTTACCATTTAGACGAGTTGCAGCCTCCTCCATGCTGTGTTGAATCTCATGAGACGTTTCTGATTCCATTCTCATTCCTGGCTAAATTTACTTGTCTGGCCCCCTATCAAATGCCAGCTGGACAAGCTGGGCTTTTCGTTAATGTAACATGCTGCGTCTGTGTTCACTGAATACATTCTTCAGAGTGGAGAAGGAATTTTCGCACATTGTTGTAGATGTCCCAAATGTTAATCAAAATCCATGTTCCAGTGACAACAGCTGACAAAGGCCCGCCGTAACTTTGAAGAACACTGAGTGGAGTCCATTTGTTGTTGCTGGCTGTGGTTCCGATTTCACTTTGCAAGAATCAATAAACTCTGCTTCCACTGGTTCAGTTTTGGTTAGATCCAACAGGTCGTCAGATGCTAGTGGCTGGAGTAATGGAGGTGCAGATGCTTGTTGTGATGTTACCCTCATGCTGCTGATGCTAGGCCCAGGCTCTTCTCAATCTTGTTGGTCAGCAGGCAGCGTGGGGGATGGGTGGGTATTACATTTGCTGCTAGTCTCCTCAACCTCGGTGGATGGCGCAGAAGGCTGCTCGGTGAGCACGGCATCGCACTCCACATGGTGGTCCTCTGTTTTTTTGCTCTTGGCAGTGCCTAGCCATTTTCGGATATCCATACTGATTAGCCAGCTTTAATTATTCAGCTTGCCGCTACCAAAACTTAACAAAGCTAGTAGCTACTAGCTAGCCTATTATTAGCTGTAGCTGTCTGGAAAAGTGAACAAATTTTTTCCCTCTCTGTGACAAAATTACTGTCAATTTAACCCCGCCCTGGTACCTTATGACATTGCATGGCGAGGTGCCCAATCAGAATGCATTTTTGGATTTGAACTACTAAATATTACATTATTACATCCCCCCTCCCTCCCCCCTCCTCAGATCATGAGCGCACACCCAGCATAGACTCTGTCCCGGTCTGCACTACTGGCAGGCCCGACAACGCTACATTGCCAAAACCGGGCATTGTAATTCATATACCATTTGTTATGTTTATGGGGAGGGGTCCATGCCTAGCTTTGCCACCCCGTAGAGCAGACTCTGCTTATTTGGTCCACTCCTTAAGGCTGTAGTGCACTTATTTGATACACACCAGAAGATTGTAGTGCACTTATTTGGTCCAATCCATAAGACTGATTTCATCCATTTGTGTGTTTTTTCCTGACAGAGGATGCAGAGGAGAGGGACAAGGTGAAGAGGGCCGGAGAGTGCTGCAGGACGATTCTCAACTATGTCAACCAGACAGTGAAAGAGGCAGAGAACAAACAGGTAACTGAATATGGAGAGGAGAATCACTGGGACTAGACACATGGTCAACATTGGTGAACACATGCGCACAGCTGAGCTAAACCAACAGTTGTCCTGGTGGAGTCATGTTGATGGTGTATATTAAATGAATCGGTTGAAAACTGTTTGAGACTTGCAAGCAATATTAAGCGAAGCCAGTCAAGACGGGAAACTCAAGTGTTTGCATAAAGGGATTCAAACAACACTTCCTACCTTAATATGGCGGTCTATTTAAGTTGACCAGTTCTGCACACACATCCTAGCTATGCGATTGGCTTGTCTTTGCTGCTTAATATTGCTGCTGCTGTAACTATTGCTGCCACCTGCTATGCATTGTCTGTTTTCTGCTAGTCCACCACCACTCCAGCCTCAAACTGTTTGGTTCTGCTTTTGTTCCCATCAGCGGGATTGGAATATATCTCACTCATTGCCTGTATTAAATGTTAATAATTTATGCATTGCTCTGGCAGTGAGATCACCTGAAGGAGCAGAGCCTAACACCAAGACCAAATGGGTTCTCTTCTATTTTATAATAAATGGTTAAATGAATACATGAGTTTCCTGTCTGAACCGTATTCATGCAAAATGTAGTAAACGATGCAACTCTTATGCCTTCCACCTTTCTACCACAATATATCAGCTAAGGGACTGAATAGGTCCTGTCTAGCCACTGCTGATGAGTCTGTGTGCTCGTCTCCCTACAGAGGTTAGAGGACTACCAGAGACGCCTGGACCTGTCCTCACTCAAACAGAGTGAGAACCCAATGATCTCAGAGTTCAAGGTGAGACTCAACTCCTATATTCCTCCACTTGTCTCACCATTTATTTACATGTATGTACCTTTATTTGACCAGGGAAGTTGATTTAGGACATATTCTCATTGACAACAACCCCAGTTGGCATAAAGCTTTAGAAAGGTGCCTGTTCTGACGTGTGCGTCTGTCTGTGTGTGTTTGTATGTGATTGTCAGTGTCGCCAGCTGCATACCACCCTAGATCCCACTGCTGGCTTGCTTTTGAAGCTAAGCAGGGTTGGCCCTGGTCAGTCCCTGGATGGGAGACCAGATGGTGGTGTTGGTGGGCCAGTAGGAGGCACTCTTTCCTCTGGTCTAAATCTTTTTTTTATCCCAATGGAGCCCCACAGTGGAGGTCATAATACCCATAAAACGTAGCGGTCAAACAGGGAAATGGTTCCAATTGTTTTTTCCACATATTTCCCATAGGGGATTTTAGAATCACTTAAAATAAGGGCTGTGTTTCGTGTAGGCTTACCCTGGCGTGACGTTTTGATAACCATGTAAATCTCTCTCGTACAAGGTGACTTTTATCAGTATATTCATCTCTATTTACTCTCAGATTTGAAAATGCTAATTAGCATCAAAGTAAACATCACGCAAGACTACAAATCCCTGCAAGCTCCTGCACATCATCTCTAGCTGACAATTTAAATACATTTTGCCAATTTATTTATTTCTACATTTAGCTAACATTAGATAGTTCATCCAGAGATTCTTACCTTTGCCTCGATTCGTCGGTCTCATCCAGATCATCAAGGCATTTGTAGTTTTTTATGATAGCCGCATTGGCAGCCAATTAGCGTTTCATTTTTGGGGGGTAAATACAGGCAAATATATTAATAAAAGTCACCTAGTCCTATTTGCACGATTATGAAAACGTCACGCCAGAGTAAGCCTACACGGAACACAGCCCTTTTTTAAAGTGTTTCTAAAAATCCCTATGGGAAAATTGAATGGTGGAAAAACTATAGGAATCATTTCCCTGTTTGACCGCTAGGTTTTATGGGCATTATGACTCATACTGTGGTACTCTATGCCCCAGGGCAGTGATTGGGGACATTGCCCTGTGTAAGGTGCCGTCTTTGGGATGGGATGTTAAACGGGTGTTCTGACTTTCTGTGGTCACTAAAGGTCCCATGGCACTTATCGTAAGAGTAGGGGTGTTAACCCCGGTGTCCTGGCTAAATTCCCAATCTGGCCGTCATACCATCATGGCCACCTAATCATCCCCAGCTTCCAATTGGCTCATTCATCCCCCCTCCTCTCCCCTGTAACTATTCCCCAGGTCGTTGCTGTAAATGAGAATGTGTTCTCAGTCACCTGGTAAAATAAGGGTTAAATAAAATAAAATAAAATAAAATAAAATGTGCGTGTGTCTTTAGAGCCTGGACCTGACCAAGAGGAAGATGGTGCACGAGGGACCTCTCTCCTGGAAGGTCAACAAAGACAAGACAATCGGTAGGTGCCCACAATTCAACATAATGTGTTTTAGCTGTGTAGAAATGTGGATAATGTAGTCAATTTATTTGTTAACCTTTAGGACAATGGCTAATTCCATTTTCAGCTTAGCCATTTCGTACACTAGAGTTGTCCTCATCAAATGCTGAAAAACTAAGTAGGCTACAACACACAGTAGAAAGCAGAAGGGTATACATGCTAGTTTTAGCCCACATAAGCACTAGCTTGTCCTCTTTAGTGTGTGTTGTAAACCATCTGCTCTCTATACCAAACGCCAGGACTGAGAGATACAAAACGTTCCCATACCTTACTCCCAATTAATCAACAAAATTTGCATCATATTGTCATGAATTTCACTTGTGTTTATCCATGTCTGTGACTTCCATTTGGGTATCAATAAAAACTTTAAAGCCCAGTGCAGTCAAAAACGTGATTTTCCTGTGTTTTATATACATTTCCACCTATGAGGTTGGAATAATACTGTGAAATTGTGAAAATGATGACAATGGCCTTTTAGTGTAAGAGCTGTTTTGAAAAGACCGCCTGAAATTTCAGCCTGTTTTGGAGGGATGGAGTTTTGGCCTGCCTGGTGACATCACCAGGCGGTAAATTAGTTAAGAGACCAATAGGAAAGAGAGTTCCAAACCTCACTGCCAATAACAGCTAATTTTCACTTTCCCACTCAGACCATTCCCAGACAGTCCTAGCAAAATTCTTGCTTGAGAAATTGTTTTTTGCTAAGAAGCTATATATAAAAAAAAAAAATGTATTACTATTTTTATTGAAAACAATCACATTAAGGTACTTCATTGTTACCCATAAATTATTTGATATTGAGATAAAAACGGCTTCATTGGACCTTTAACTATTGAACTTCCTCCTACGCCCTCAGAGCTGTACACACTGCTCCTAGAGGACATCCTGGTGCTGCTGCAGAAGCAGGACGAGCGGTTGGTTCTAAAGTGCCACAGCAAGAACCTGGCGGGCTCCGCCGACACCAAGCACATCTTTAGCCCCATTATCAAGCTCAACACTGTGCTGGTGCGCTCGGTGGCCACCGGTGAGTCCATTCAATTCAGTTTAGTTCAATTCAAACTTTATTGTCCCCACAGGGAAATCCATTCTGCAGGAGTACATAAGACACGATACATACAGTATACACAAAGATACAAAGACACACATGCAAGCACTAACAAGCCACGCCCACTTTTTTAAATAAACAGTTTTGTTTCAGTGGTGTGAAATGTTTTTTAAAATTCAGATAGAAATAGTTTGTGTAGAGCAGATGTAATTCTCTGTTATGCCGAATGGGGATTTGTGTCAGCTTTATATGTTCCATTTCTATCTGTCACATTCTGAATATTTCAGTGTCCCACTGAAAAGGCTCTTGGAATCAATGTCCAATAACATTTCTTCAAGCAACATATCTGTGGTAGCCTGGTCCCAGATCTGTTTGTGCAGTCTTGCCAACCGTCATGTTTGGCATGACAATGACATTGGACTAAGTTTGTTGGAACCCGCTTGATCTTGCGATAGCTCACATTCTGTTTTACTGAAGTGACCAGGCTACATTGGAGTTGGCTATACAGCACAAAGAGATCTGGGACCAGGCTATATCTTGTGGGATTTGGAGAGGAAAGACAACATAGTAAAGACAACATAGCAGACTGTCATAATATATGTTCTAATGATATGCTGTCTCTTCCCCTGACAGACAACAAGTCCTTCTTCGTGCTGTCTATGTCCGACAACGGAGCCCAGATCTACGAGCTAATGGCCCAGACCGTGTCCGAGCAAAGAACGTAAGTCTGTCTGTTTTCATCCCAAAGTCACTTAATCCAAGCTTCCCATTCAGTTGTCACCTGGCTAACACTTTATCAAAGTTCCCAGGTTTTCTAGAAATTCCAGTTAACGGATTCCAGGGGGGAATAAGCAGGGACAGGATCCTCCAACTAATATTTCTGAAAAAGCTGAATTTGCTTGGTTTTAGTTGTATTTTAAGTTGAATCCCTCCAGGCAAAGTTGCTCTCATAGAGATAGATGGCACTTGCCAGAAAGACGTGATGGGCTCTCTTTCTATCTCTTTGGTTGCTAAGTTTCTCATTAGCTCCTCCCATCCACTAGGTGGCAGTGTCTGATAACGCAGAGGGCAGACACCATGAAGACGAAACCGCACAACATAATACCTTTACCTCAGACCGAGTAAGTTCACTGGCCTTTTTGTGCTTTTTATATATATTATATTTTAAATATTTAACTTGTTATATATTCTGCTGTCTAATGAAAAAAGGCTCCCATTTTACATCGCCCTAGTTTATAATTTACGTGTGTGTGTGCGTTTGTGTGTGCGTGCGTGCATTTTTCATGTGTGTTGAAGTGCTGAGCGAGACACAGTGGAGGTTATCAGCACGGGGATGCCCAAACTGAGCAAAGACCCAGACCGCCTCTCCACGGAAAGTATCCAGTTCGCAGGTATCAATTACAAGATATTTAATCTAGTTTTTCAACCCTATGAAAAGTTATGTGAGTTTGACTATTCTTCATGCAGCTTTAAAACAACTTCATTACCCATGTTTCTGTATCCCCTAGAAAAATGTGTAACTTCCTCGCCTGGTCTGCAACCCACGCCCACATTGATCAACCCATTTGACAGCGTCAAATCAGACGACAAGGAAGAAGTGTCGCCGCCGCTGTTAGACAGAAGAGAAGAAGAGGAGGAGGAGGAGGAAGTGGAGGAGTTAGACGAGGAGGAAGTTGAAGTGTTTATGGATGGCGAGCTGGCAGACAGACTGCCCTTCCAAGGCATTGCCATCGACGACCAGGAGCCCCATGACGCCTTTGGCATGCCCCCCTCCAGAGCCGAGGAGGCCCTAAGAACCTGTGAGTTTACTACCTTGTCCTTAGTTAGACCAATATGACACATACAGTGATAGAATAACACACTATCATAATGTTTTGCTACGGAAACAGAAAATGAGTGTTGCTTATTGGCTAGTGCTGAGCGATTTGTGCTTTTTGAGGATGGATCGGTTTCATTTCGATTATGAAAAAATTATCACAGTTTTCGATTTCGGTTTCGATTACTTTGGATTGAATGCTGTAACAACACAGAACAAAACAATTAATAAAAGTCACATGATGGTAGTGACTGCCCATTACTGCTTATTAACCATAATTTATTCACATTACTTTACTTTATTAAAATATTTCAGTTGTTGTGTATATTACATTTGTTTTATTTTATAACTTTATTATTTTATTCCAAGTCATCATCACATCTCTATAGAGCTGCTGCATATGCTGACTGAAAAAAATCACTATTTTGTAGTTCTTCAAGGTAAATAGCCCTCCTGTAGCTCAGTTGGTAGAGCATGGCGCTTGCAATGCCAGGGTTGTGGGTTCGATTCCCACGGGGGGCAAGTATGAAAAATGTATGCACTCACTAATTGTAAGTCGCTCTGGATAAGAGCGTCTGCTAAATAACTAAACATTTTTAAAAAATTCTATGACTGCTGAATACCAACTCTCAATCACTTAGATCATGTATTTTCAGGTAGAGATACCTCGCGAAGGAACAGCTGCTGTCTATATCCCCATACGATCAAGCATTGTTCTGCCTCTTCTGTAGCAGGCATAAAATAATCACAGACCCGGGCAAGTAGAGGCCCAATGGATTATGGTCATTGTAGTTAATTACAACATTTTATGCGCTAAACTACGTAGAATATTGGCCTGTTGAAAACTACAACTGTAAATCTTGGTGGGGCAAACTCAACCATTTTTTTTAGATGCATACCAGCAACGCCACTACACAACACACTAAACTATACATCAATTGCACTATAACGGTGACAAACGGAGCCCACAAACTGTTACGGCTTACATAAAGCAATTCAGATAGATGTTAGTTCAGATAAATTCAGCAAGATGTTGACTTTACTCTTCTTTAAGTCACCACACAGAGAGAGAGAGAGAGAGAGATACGCGCCGTTCGCTTACTATTTGAAGTATTTTATTAGGCCTATGTTGTCTAAAAAGGAAGGAAAATACAATCACGAGGATCCACTTTAATAGACAATATACCGAAGCACAGACAGCGCATTGTGCAAACAAAACAACCCTCGCAATATTAACTGGAATTACTGAACTTTTTGTTGAAAACAAATATTTGAATGGGAAGAGACTGTCACTGGCAAACATGGCTACATTCCCAACAACATTATATAGTATCCCCTCCTCGTGAAGAAAAGCACATGAGCTAATTTATGCAGAAGCATACAAGACAGTCGTTCTTGTGGGCAAATTTTGTCATCAAAGGTGCTTTCAAGACAACTGGGAACTCTGAAAAAAACAATGTCAAATCATGACGTTTAGTGATCTTCAGCTTGGAGCTCTAGAAAGAGGCCTGAGTTCCTGGCTTGGAATTCCGAGTTGGATGACCGGAGCTCGTTTTTTTCAGAGTTCCCAGTTGTCTTGAACTCACTGAAGTCTGAGATTTCCCAGTTCCGAGTTTCCAGTTCTTTTGAACGTGGCAGAAGTCATGCTGGATTGACAGCATGGCCAATGTATTCAACCTTTTCTCGTCCATGGTGTTGCATGTGAATGTTTATCCTTTTAAGCTTGGAAATTAGACCCTTAAACCCAGACTTGGACCACACACCCACTCCACTAAATAGCAGGCTAGTGATTGCTTTGCAACGCTTGCAGTTAGCCACTGATTCCTTCCAAACCACTCCTTGTTGAATTTGCCATTTCCGACTTGTTGTGTAATGTTTATGTCCAATGGCCGATGAGCACCAATACCTTTTTGCCAGTAGATTGTCAACGTGATTCATGATGATGACTGCTTGTCTAGCTTGCTAGCTAAGATTTTAAAAGTAACATGATCAGTCCAATCAAAGCTACGGAAGATATAACGTGATTTGACGTCATTTTATTTGTGGCCAATGACCTTGAGCCTTCTTGGATGGGCACTTCTAATGTAAATCTATGGCAGCACCCAAGGGGGCTAGAACTGCCTAGCTCTCCCTGTAGATTCTGCGGTGACGTAGTGTCCCCATGAGTGACAGAATACTGAGCCAATCACGGCGCAACTAGAGAATATTATCAATGCCTACGCTCTGTATATTCCGCTGGCTGCCCCTCCACCACAGAAAGCACTGAGCTAGGCTGAAACACCTGCATTTTGGAGCTGCCTTACTCAAGAAATAAACTATGTTCGTATGCAGCTTTATTAACTCAATATTAATCGCTCAGCACTATTATTGGCCTAATGAACATGACCATGTAGCAGTTTTAACACACCACAGTTATGGAATACCTTACAAAACGAATTACACCTGGATTACCTGTTGTATTGATGGATTTCTTTTGTCCTCAGGGCACCATTGTAAATGAGACACTGGTCTCAATTGTGTTCCCCTGAATTAATAAAAGTTTATACAAATATATAAAAAAGTAACCTCTCTCTCTCTCTCTCCTTCTCCCAGTGGCAGCCCTGAGGCAGGTCCTTCTCAACCACATGACGAGCAGAGAGGAGGGCAGCGACAAGGACAAAGAGAATAGGAAGGAGAAGGAGCAGAGGAAGTGCCGGGCCCGTGGGGCACGCCTGCTGAGGACCACGTCACTGAGGGACCCAGAGGACAACAACACCAGTACATCGGGCCCTAGGAGTGCAGCAGCATCCTCTCCTGGCTCCTCTGAGAACAGCACATCGGAGAGGACCGAGGCGGGGAGGGAGGAGGGGGCCCCAGGGTCCTCGGAAATCCCGTCTGGGGACACAGGCTTCTTCGAGACATCTGAGGACTACGGTGAGCCAACTGGGACATTCAGGGAGCTGGACAAGTCATGGGAGGGCAGAAAACCTAGTGGCGAATCCCCTTCTCCTTAAGTCAAATTTTCACTTAGTCATTGATGTCAATAGGAGACCAAGTCCGAATTCGACTTAAGCGGAAGTTAGGATTCACCCTGTAATGTGTATTGTTCAAATATCCTCATAGCTGAAAAAGTTGTGTTTATAGCCGTTTTATTGCTTTTATAGCAAGTTGTTTTTATAGCTGATGTTTTATGATATCATTATGCATGTGTGAGGTTCCTCCTTTTTAATTGTGAAAGTTAAAGTTTTCAGGTGGGCATAATTTACACTTTTCAGAGATTATCTGCTTTATGGCTCTAAACCGGCATTTCCCAAACTAGGGGGGGCGACCCCATGTGGGGTCACCTGGTTTGAAAATGGGGTCGCGAGAGAAACTCTCTCTCTCAAAAAAAAAAGATTGCGCTTGGTTCATAGAACCAGGGTTACGTCAGTAAATGCGGTTGTAATAAACAGAGCGGTTTCTGTTTTCTTCCTGCAAATGTGACTCTATCTTTTGAACGGTTTAAGCTACAAAATAGTATGACCACATCACTGAAAGATAAGACTAAGGAAAAAGTATGTGTCTTCTGTTTCCCTCTACAATGTCCACAAGCCGTGCAGGACTCATTAGAACAGAGTGGACAAGACCAGGCACTAAATCAAAATCTCTCTCCCTCTCCCTTTTCAGGCAGTTACATTGTCCTGGGGGGCTTGGGGGAGAGCAGCACAGACGACGACGGTCAGGCGAGTGGCGAGGGTGGGGGCGGGGCCCAGTGGGGCTCGGACTCGGGCATCGACCTGAAGAAGCTGCTCTCCTCATCCTCGCAGACAGGGGATGCCGGCCCCAACCTCAGGCGCCAGGTCATGACCCACCTCCGCCTGCTGCAGGCCAACCTGCAGCACCTGAAGGTACACCATCAACCCCCCTTTGAGTACCATGCAGAAGTTGCCCCCCTAGATCAGACCTGGGTTCAAATACTATTTTAAATAATTAAAAATACTTTCTGTGCTTTATTGTGTTCGCCCATTTAGCACTTCAGGCAGGCTAGAGTAAACACTTAAAGTATTTGACAGATTTCAAATAGTATTTGAAGCCAGGACTGATCTAAGGTCAGTTTTGTGTTTTTAGCTGATCATTGATGGATGCCTCAGGGCAGCTTCGGCACAGAATCAAATAAAATAAAATGTTATTTGTCACATGCTTTGTAAACAACAGGTGTGGACTAACAGTGAAATGCTTACTTACGGGCCCTTCCCAACAATGCAGAGAAAGAAAATGGAGTAAAACACGTAATAATAAAAGTAATAATAGATACACAATGAGTAATGATAACTTGGGTATATACAAGGGGTGCCAGTACCGAGTCGATGTGCAGGGGTACGAGGTAATTGAGGTAGATATGTACAAATAACTAGGAATAAAGTGACAGATAGAAATCAGCAGCAGCGGCGTATGTGATGAGTCAAAATAGTTCGTGCAAAAAGGGTCGGGTAGCTATTTGGTTAACTATTTAACCAACTATTTAGCAGTCTTATGGCTTCGGGGTAAAAGCTGTTCAGGGTCCTGTTGGTTCCAGACTTGGTGCATCGGTACCGCTTGCCGTGCAGTAGCAGAGAGAACTGTCTATGACTTGGGTGGTTGGAGTCTTTGACAATTTTTAGGGCCTTCCTCTGACACCGCCTGGTATAGAGGTCCTGGATGGCAGGAAGCTTGGCCCCAGTGATGTACTGGGCCCTACGCACTACCCTCTGTAGCGCCTTGCGGTCGGATGCCAAGCGGTAATGCAGCCAGTCAAGATGCTCTCAATGGTGCAGCTGTAGAAACTTTTTGAGGATCTGAGGGCCGATGCCCAATCTTTTCAGCCTCCAGTGGGGTAAGAGGCTTTGTCGTGCCCTCTTTACGACTGTGTTGGTGTTTTTGGACCATGATAGATCCTTAGTGATGTGGACGCCAAGGAACTTGAAGCTCTCGACCAGCACCACTTCAGCCCCGTTGATATGAATGGGGGCGTGCTTGGCCCTCTGTTTCCTTTAGTCCACAATCAGCTTCTTTGTATTGCGGACGTTGAAGGAGAGGTTGTTGTCCTGGCACCACACTGCCAGGTCTCTGACCTCTTCCTTATAGGCTGCCTCAACGTCGTCAGTGATCAGACCTACCACCGTTGTGTCGTCTGCAAACTTAATGATGGTGTTGGAGTCGTGCGCGGCCACGCAGTCTTATGTGAACAGGGAGTGCAGGAGGGGACTAAGCACACACCCCTGAGGGGCCCCCGTGTTGAGGGTCAGCGTGGCGGATGTGTTGTTGCCTACACTCACCACCTGGGGGAGTCCCGTCAGGAAGTCCTGGATCCAGTTGCAGAGGGAGGTGTTCACTCCCAGGGTCCTTAGCTTAGTAATGAGTCAATGAACAGCATTCTCACGTAGGTGTTCCTTTTGTCCAAGGGCAGTGTGGAATGCAATAGAGATTGTGTAATCTGTGGATCTGTTGGGGCGGAATGCGAATTGGAGTGGGTCCAGGGTGTCTGGGATGATGGTGTTGATGTGAGCCATGACCAGCCTTTCAAAGCATTTCATGGCTACATATGTGAGTGTTACGGGGTGAGTCAATTAGACAGGTTAACTTGGTCTTCTTGGGCACAGGGACTATGGTGGTCTGCTTGAAACATGTAGGTATTACAGACTGGATCAGGGAGAGGTTGAAAATGTCAGTGAAGACACTGGCCAGCTGGTCAGCGCATGCTCTGAGTACGCGCCCTGGTAATCCGTCTGGCCCTGCGGCCTTGTAATGTTAACCTGTTTGAAGGTCTTACTCACATCTGCTACGGAGAGCATGATCAAAAAGTCGTCCGGAACAGCTGGTGCTCTCACGCATGGTTCAGTGTTGCATACCTCAAAGTGAGCATAGAAGGCATTTAGCTCGTCTGGTAGACTCGTGTCACTGGGCAGCTCGCGGCTGGATTTCCCTTTGTAATCCGTGATTTTGCTCAGTGCGGATGTTGCCTGTAATCCATGGCTTCTGGTTGTGATATTTACGTATGGTCACTGTAGGGACGATGTCATCGATGCATTTATTAATGAAGCCAGTGACTGATGTGGTGAACTCCTCAATGCCATCGGATGAGTCCCGTAACATATTCCAGTCTGTGCTAGTGAAACAGTCCTGTAGCTTAGCATCCACTTCATCGGACCCCTTCTGTATTGAGCGCGTCACTGGTACTTCCTGTTGAGATTTTGCTTGTGTAAGCAGGAATCAGGAGGATAGAGTTATGGTCAGATCTGCCAAATGGAGAGTGAGGGAGAGCTTTGTATGCGTCTCTGTGTGTGGATTAAAGGTGATCTAGAGTTTCTTTCTCCTCTAGTTGCACAGGTGACATCAATCAATCAATCAAATGTTATTTATAAAGCCCTTTTTACATCAGCAGATGTCACAAAGTGCTATACAGAAACCCAGCCTAAAACCCCAAACAGCAAGCAATGCAGATGTAGAAGCACGGTGGCTAGGAAAAACTCCCTAGAAAGGCAGAAACCTAGGAAGAAACCTAGAGAGGAACCAGGCTCTGAGGGGTGGTCCCCTTCTGGCTGTGCCGGGTGGAGATTATAACAGTACATGGCCATTAAGACATGATGGTAGAAATTAGGTAAAACGGATTTCAGTTTTCCTGCATTAAATCACTGGCTATTTTCTTGTTTGCTTATGGCCCTATACAACTCGTTGAGTGCAGTCTTAGTGCCAGCATCGGTTTGGTGGTAAATAAACAGCTACGAAAAATATAGATGAAAATGTTCTTGGTAATAGTATGGTCTCCGGCTTATCATGAGGTATTCTTATTCGAACCTCAAGACATCCTTAATATTAGAGATTGCGCACCAGCTGTTGTTAACAAAGAGACACACACCGCCCCCCTTGAGCTTACCCGACGCTGCCGTTCTGTCCTGCCGATGCATAGAAAAAACAGCTAGTTGTATATTATCCATGTCCTTGTTCAGCTCTGTTTTCGAGAAACATAGGATATTACAGTTCTTCAAGTCCCGTTGATTGGATAGTCTCGAATGGAGCTCGTCCAGTTTGTTCTCCAGTGATTGTACAGTCACCAATAGAAAAGAGGGTAGAGGTGGTTTATTTACTCTCCACTGTAGTTTCATCAGGGTGCCCGCACGCCGGTCTCTATATTGCCGTCTCTTTCTCTTCCGAGTGTCCGGTATTAGGGCCTAGTCAGGGTGAGCAGTATGTCCGGCGCCGCCGACCTGTTGAAGTGGAAATCTTCATCCAAATCGAGGTTAGCGATCACTGTTCTGATGTCCAGAAGCTATTTTTGGTCATAGGAAACAATGGTGGAATCATTATGTAAAAAAATGTTAAGATCAGCACAAAAAAACACACAAAATAGCAGAATTGGTCAGGAGCCCGTAAAGTGTCTACAACACATTCCAGCGCCGTACCAGAACTGTATGAGAAGCACTTTAAGTAAAGTCATTCAATTTCTATAATTTCAGTCTCTCATGCGTTTGCCCATACTATTATATTTTTCTATTCATCCATCCATTCACCCATCCATCAACACACTAATTTTATCCCTCTCTCCTTATGTCTGTTCATCTGTTCTACCAGAGCTAAGTTTGTGTCAACAATCTACTTTCAGGAAGTGGAAACCAAGTATAATGAACTGCGCCAAAGGCTGAGTGAAACAGCTACTGACACAGAGGAGAACAAAGGTACTGTGAATTATTGATATTGCGTCCCATATGGCACCCTATAGCCTTTATAGTGCACTATTTTTGAAAAAAGGCTTTGTAAAAATTAGTGCACTTTATAGGGAATAGGGTGCCATTTGGGACACACCCTGATACTGTACTGATCATGAACAGATACAAGAGTAGTTTGCATGCACAAGATGCTTGAAAGGGCTTTTGGAGTACATGAGCGTAGATATCTTGTGCTCCACCAATGCATTGTAATTTCTGCAAGCATTGAAGTTTGAGTAAACCGTACACACGGGACAACAAACAGAATGCGTATCTCAACTTCGAACTAGATTTGTTGTTGGATATCGTATGTATACGTTTTGTGGTCAGATATCAAAGAGCAAAACACGATGAGGAAAACAAAATCAAAATATGTTTTCACTATTTCTCTCTTCTTTGTTTTCTGTCTCTCTTCAGATAAGAGTTAGTGGTGACAGAGCCCCTAATCCTCCACCACAAGAGAACAAAATAGTGACATTGATAGGGAGGGGGACACCTGGTCACCTCTCCCTGTCCTCTTGATACCCCCCACCTCACCCCCCTCACCCCTCCCATACTGCTGTGACCTAAAGTGGAGACTGGGACTCGCGCAGGCCCTCCCAGGCACACATGGCAATCAGGGAAGAACACCACAACTCTCCACAGCCTTCTCACAAGGACCATTTGGCTATACCCCCTCAACCACCAGATATTTTCTCCTCCTGTGGATAAGAGTGTCATCTTCCCATTGCTCGCGTGCATTGGGCCTTCGGAACTCATCACTTTCAATGTATCCAGCAGGGTCCAGAAACACAACTGTACGTGATGCTATAGTCCAACTTAAAGCACCCCCATGTGGTGGCTAATGCTTTGGGCCTAGAGGATTATGTACCATAGCAAAGGCATACCAAAGTGAAAAGTGTGCAGAAGATATGGGGGGGGGGGGGGGGTCAATATACTGTACCTATTCAGTTGTAATCATGCCATGATCGATCAAATTGCGCTAGAACAAAATATTTGAAGTTTAGAGAATGGTCAGTGGTTTTTACTAAACTTCAAAACGTAATAGTATGTTAAGTTAGCCCACCATCATGCCTACAATGACGTTCTGAAGTGATTATTTAATCACTTAGGGGTGAATCCAAACTTCCACTTAAGTAAAATGTTCCCTTCGGTAATCATAGATGTCAATGGAAGACTATTGGAAGTGGAAGTTAGGATTATCCCCTTAAGAGGTCCTCAAGTCATTTATTGGGTCTCAAGAAAAACAAGCAGTTCTCCAAAAAAAGGAAAATGTTGTGAATATCAAGAAAAAGGACTAGTTCGGTCTGCTAGATAGGTCCACTTTGCCAACCCAGTGAAATGCTGTTAGTAGTCACCGGTAAGAGCTTTTTTTCTTCACCTTTTACTGTGGCTGTATCTCCTCTGGCTGGCATTAGTGGCACTTGGGAAGCACGTGTGATATAGTAAAATACGAGAGGACAGTCCGTCGTTCCTGTTATTGACTTTCCCCTGAAGTAATGTGGTATTCATCCATTCCTAATCGACAGTGACCCTCCTAGATTGGGGAACATCTCCCCCAGCTCTGTGCCAAGTTGCTGTTTACCTTCCCTTTTCTCCGTTTTTGGAACTCCAAACTATCTGTGTTACTGTACATCATCCTTTGGATACAAGCTACTGAGGAACTCTTCACGCACAAATTAGCTTCTGGGGTGAGAGCACAGACCTCTGTGATTTCATGGTTGGATTGAGAAAAGACTGGCACAACAAATACTGTATATTAATTTCACTCCAATGTTAGCCCAGCCGGAAGACTGTGTTCAAATATGAAGTTGTGGCTTGGATTCTTGGATGAAAAAAAAAGAAGTAAACAACAACAAAGCTGAAAATAAAGATTTTTTTTAAGGACTTCTATGGACTATTTTAAATGTTTAAAAAAATACAATTACGTACAATAATGACCAACACTGCACCTCTTAAAGTAAGAGCAATCTTCACATTTCCTTGGTTTTGTTGTTTTTTCTTCTGCTTTCTACATCATACAATCATGTATTATTTTAACAGAAACTACTAAAAAATTTGAACAAATAAAAGACTGCAAGGTATCGCTAAAATATTAATGTAATCTGTATTTTTATTATTTTTGTCTAGATGTTATTATATTTGTATTATATTATTATGAGCACTATTATTAATATGGTCTCTGGCTCTGAAAACGTAAATAGTTATTTTTAGATGAGCGATTAAAATCTGACTGATCTATTGTTTAAAATGAAGGGAAAGATTGCAAAATGTGTCTTTATTTTATTTCAGTCGATCTTCCTGGGTAGAGAGAGGGAAATATGAGTTGGAAATATGATTAAAGAAGCTTGCTGGAAACACTGATGATGGTGGAGTATTATTCTCTGAGCTTGGATGTGAAAATACTGCAGCATATTTTGGTATACCTTCTTGTTTCGCATGTTTATGTTTCATTTCATGGGCAATGCAATGAGACCACAAACATTTTGCCCAAATACTTGGTAAAGACACTTAAAGGGGAAGTTCAGTATTTGACAACTTAGGCCGGGATTCAATCTGATCGCGCTTTGTCAGCTATGCAGCTTTTAAAGGCAATGTTCCCGTGTTCACGGAGACCGCATTCACGGTAAACGCTGCATATGTTGGTTCAATCAGAAATTACATTTAAATAGCCGACAAAGCATGATCGGATTGAATCCTGGCCTTAATGTTATATGATTCCTCACCTTGAAAGTATTTTACACACGCTATTCTTCAAGGTATGCCAGGGTTCTTTCAGATCTGATCCCAAAAATGCTGTACCTGTGTTGCGAATTAACAAGTGTGTATTAGCAAGGGGAGTCTCAATCAGCCGCTTTGGAATTGATATATTCTGACCAAGACAATTCAGACTTCGTTGAGCTCTTTTTCTAGAATACGCCCAAACAGAGCCCTGTAGTCCTACATGTGTTGATTGATTTATTGACATTGATTTTACTGGGAAAAAAAGATGCACTGAGTACAACCGAGGGAATAACACGTTAAAGCGAAATTCACTTGTCTACAACATAGTCCCTGATGGAATACAAACAATACAGACAAAACACAAGAACAAAACAGTAATCCCTACAGTACAAGACCACATCATACAGCGTAGAATAAATAAATAACTAACAAAGAAGATATAGTTCTAATCTCATCCTAATCTCATCTCCTGGACTCTAATATGTCGTTATCAACAATACTATAACAGCTAAGATTGCCTCTGGGCCAGACCTATGCATGCACCTTTCGGATGTAGCAGAGACATAAATGCCTGTCAGTGACACTAAGTGCTACTCAACTTTATCCGAAGATGAGCTCTGACCTGTCCTTTAAAAACACTCCTGGACTGGGACAGTTTAATAGGCAGTGGGAGCAGTGGCGGTCTGTGATGTTTATTTATATTACACTTATTTTATTCATATTCCATTCATTCAGTTCAATATAACATCACATTTTCCCTATACCCATCATGAGGTTGCTACAACCTAGCCTATGAATGAAAGTTTACAACATAGGTGAACCAGTGGCGTTCGGTGCCGTTTAAGATGAGGGAGGATTATTTTTTATTTTTTATGAGCATGGCCTTATTTCTATTATAGCATATTGGATGAATGTCATTCATATTCCATTCACCCATTTCAATGTAACATCGATAGATTTAGGCTACTACATGATACTAAAATTGTCCCTATACCCATCATGAGGTTGCTACAACCTAGCCTATAAATTAAAGTTTACTACATAGGTGCACACAGGTCGAGAGAAAGATTTGAGGTGACAGACAGTGACATTCAATACCGCCTTGCACACTCTTGCCTGCATCTAGCTTATCTAGGGTGTAATCGTTAGTCCAACAGTTGCAAAGGAGAGTTTCTATTGGACAAATGTAGGTATGTTTATCCCCTTTTGTTCAGTTTGCTTCCGTTTAAGAAATGTTTGAACAGAATCGGCAGAATGAATACACCCCTGATCACACGCAAACTTTCATAGCCACATAGAAACAGCTCATTGTATTCCTTCTCACATCTATGCGCTTTCCTCCTCTCACCTTTTCCCTTCGCTTGTGGACTTCAATGCACAACACATCAGGTGTAGCTAATAGCTAATAGAACTAACATGTTAGTAAACCCGCTACAATCATGCAGTACAGTCAGTAAGCAATGAGCAGTTACACCGACGGGCCCCGGTAGCAATACATTTGTAAAACCAAAAGTTTACCTTGACTTGGAAGAGTTCCAGTGTTGGATAGTCATAGCCAGTTAGCTAACATAGCATCCCTCTCTCTTTGAGCAGGTGTTTGAGTAGGCTAAACTAGCTAGCAGCATTTGCTACCTAAGTAAATGAAAGTGAAAGTTAATTTTTTTTAGAAATATCTCTCTCTCTCTCTCTGTCTCTTGCTCCTTCATTTTTGAAGAAATGAATTTGTTCAAAACTGTTCAACTATTGTCTTTCTCTCTCTTTGAGTCAACTACTCACCACATTTTATGCACTGCAGTGCTAGCTAGCTCTAGCTTATGCTTTCAGTACTAGATTCATTCTCTGATCCATTGATTGGGTGGACAACATGTCAGTTCATGCTGCAAGAGCTCTGATGGGTTAGAGGATGTCCTCTGGAAGTTGTCATAATTACTTTGTAAGTCTATGGAAGGGGGTGAGAACCATGAGCCTCCTAGGTTTTGTATTGAAGTCAATGTACCCAGAGGAGGATGGAAGCTAGCTGTTCTCTGGCTACACCATAGTGCTACCCTACAGAGAGCTGTTGAGTCTAGTGTTGACCTTCATTGAAAAACAGTGTGTTTTAATCAATTATTTGGTGACATGAATATATGTAGTATAGTATTATCTAAAAAGGATAGCTTTTCTTATGTTTCACTATTTAAAAAAAAATTAAATTCACTGAGGAGGCTATTCCACAACAGAACACCAGTGTAGAAGAACGAGCTCTGTGCCACACTACATACTC